AAATTTTATTGTTACCTTTAATAAATCATTCTTTATATTTCTTGTTACATGGCCTAAATATTTGTTGTTGATTTTAGTTTAGAATTAGGTTGTCAAATTGAGGAGAAAGTATGGCATTAATACGTGTTGGTAATTTTAGTTTGTCAAAATTCAAGAGAAAAACAAGAAAAGTATGTATCGCCAATGATCGTTTAAGCGACTAAGTATATCGCTTAAGTGACTAAGGGTTTTTAAAAAGGATTGCTTAAGCGATATCACGGATCGCTTAAGCGATCGTGTACCTGGGAAGATGATTCTGCCCACATGTAGGATCGCTTAAGCGATATCTAGGATCGCTTAAGCGATCGTGCAACTAAGCAGATGATTGTGCCCAGGGGCACGATCGCCTAAGTGATCCATGATCGCTTAATCGACCAAGACAAAAAGACAAGAATCGCTTAAGGGATATCTCGGATCGCTTAAGCGATCGTGCGCCTGGACAAATTTGATTCTGCCCTGGTGCATGATCGCTTAAGCGATTTACAATCGCTTAATCGACCAAGATAAAAAGAGAAGAATCGCTCAAGCGATTCTTATAGGATCGCTTAAGCGATCATGAACCTAGGCAGATTTGATTCTACCAATCACGTAATCGCTTAAGCGATCCACGGTTGCTTAATCGACCAACTAAAAAAGTAAAGAATCGCTTAAGCGATATCTATGATCGCTTAAGCGACCCTATGTAAACGAAGTTCCTTTTGTTACGATCGCTTAATCGACCAATGAAATATTTAAAAATTTGACAAATACACCCCCACCTACCCTACTTCCCAGATTCCAGCCACCACCATCGAAAACCTACTAGGAAAGGGCGTTACGACGCATTGCAACCGGATCAGGCTGATAGGGCATCGATATGGCCTTTTCCGGCCAGATCGACAATGGATGTGGCCGGAAAAGGTCAGATCACGGCCATATCTGGCCGTCGACGGACGAAAAATGCGACATCTGACCGTCTGCAATGGCCAAAGATATGACCGTCGTTTTCGGTCAACGATGCCTAAGATTTGGTCGTCATTGACCGACAACATTAGCCATTTCATTTAAAAGTCAATGACGGCCCGATGTGGCCTTTTCCATGGATCTGGCCGAAAAATGTCACATTTTGAATTACCGGCCATTTCCAGTCATTTGTAGCCGTCGGTGGTGCCAAAATCTGGGAAGTTTGGTGGGTAGGGGTGTTTTTGTTACTTTTGAAACTTTTTCTGGCGATATTAATGAAATTAATTCAGTTAATGGGTCTAAAATTTATTAAACAAATACTAATATTTGCTAAATAATTAAAAAAAGAAATATTATGGGAATATGATTTATAATATTTATGCAAATATTCAACGAAACGCACCCTTTATGTTCTGAACAAAGACGAATCGTAAACCCTATATGTTTAGCATAGACATATACATTCTACACTTTATATGTTTCATACTGATGTAAAAGAACTATATGTTTGATATAAGTATAATAACGGTCATAGTCCACAAAGATGAATCGTAAACCCTATATGTTTAGCATAGACGTATACATTCTACACTTTATATGTTTCATACTGATGTAAAAGAACTATATATTCAATATAAATATAATAACGGTCATAGTCCACAAAGACGAATCGTAAACCCTATATGTTTAGCATAGACGTATACATTCTACACTTTATATGTTTCATACTGACGTAAAAGAACTATATGTTTAATATAAATATAATAACGGTCATAGTCCACTGAACAAATCGTAAACCCTATATGTTTAGCATAGACGTAAACATTCTACACCTTATATATTTCATACTGACGTAAAAGAACTATATGTTTAATATAAATATAATAACGGTCATAGTCCACAAAGATGAATCGTAAACCCTATATGTTTAGCATAGACATATACATTCTATACTTTATATGTTTCATACTGAAGTAAAAGAATTATATCTTTAATATAAATATAATAACGGTCATAGTCCACAAAGATGAATCGTAAACCCTATATGTTTAGCATAGTGTTAATCGCTAAATCGATGCTCTGAAATACAATAAATAATATCCGAATACATAGGAACACTTAAGAGATTCGTTGCTTTTACTCCTGCTCACTTAAGCGATCGGTAATTGCTTAAGAGATCTAGCTCGCGGCAGATGCCCAAATCAAAAATCGCTTAAGCCATCCACTTGTATCGCTTAAGCGATTTTTGTAAAAAACTCCTGATCGCTTAAGCGATCGTGGACAAGGCAGAATGAATCTACCCAGATCTATGATCGCTTAAGCGAGCTCATGTATCGCTTAAGCGATTCATTGCTTTTACTCCTAGTCGCTTAAGCGGTCGGTTTGTATCGCTTATGCGATTTCCGTAAAACACTCTTGATCGCTTAATCGATCTCAAATCGCTTAAGCGATCTTGGCCAAGGGAGAATGCATCTGCCCAGATCTATGATAGCTTAAGCGATCTTATGTATCGCTTAAGCGGTGCTTCCTAAACGAGTCTTCGTCGCTTAAGCGATTTTGGATTGCTTAAGCGATCTTGGCCAAGGCAGAATACATCCGCCCAGATCTATGATCGCTTAAGCGATCTTATGTATCGCTTAAGCGATGCTTCCTAAACGAGTTTCTGTCGCTTAAGCAACATAGGATCGCTTAAGCAATCTTTATCAAGGCAGAATGAACATCTGGCCAGATGGGTAATCGCTTAAGCGATCTTTATCAAGGCAGAATGAACATCTGCCCAGATGGGTAATCGCTTAAACGATCTGACGTATCGCTTAAGCGATGCTTCCTAATAGAGTCTCTATCGCTTAAGCGATCATATCTGGAAAAGTCTTAGTCATTTGGGAAACATTTGTACATAGTAAATTCAACCTGCTAATTGATCCGGAAACATATCTGGAAAAAACCATTATCCGACTTCGGTGAAGCAAATGATCACACCATATATGATAAATTCAACCTGCTAATGAGATATCTTATATGGGCAAAAAAAATTATCTCCCAAATGTCAGATCCAATTCTTTACAAAAATTTCCTATACACTGCCAGCAACCTCTCTAAGATCATTGTTTTGTACCATGCCTTCCCAGCAGCCTTTATTGTAGATGCCTCCTCTCCTCTTGCCAACCAGCCTTTGTTTGAGAATTTTCCTCTCATTGTTTGTCAGGAACCTACAGACACGTCAACTTTTATAAATTAAAAAAAAACACGTAAATAAGTTACAGTGTGTGTAGGTGAGAAGTTCATCACAAATCTTGTCTTTCGGTAAAGCTCCATATAAGCATGACACCTGCAGCATCAGCACCACAACCCAAGTATGAACATCGACATCACATAAACTACAAAATTCAAAGTCCAACTTTCATACCTTTTTATTGGGTTCTGCTCACTCAAAACGGATCCATCACCCATAGAAGCAATCGACAGCCCAGCCCTCCCGACAGTCTCTCATTGTTTCATCATTCAACTCATCCATCGAGGTGTTGGTCATGTCGAACTCAATAAATTTCAGGGCATATACCCCACATTCAGCACTACAATAGGAAAAGACATTAGCATTAGAATAAACTTATAGAACAATTGTATTATATAAGTTAGTTTTATACAGAAGTTACCTTGACTCGTTTATTGGGCCGATAGAGCGCTTAATTAGCCACTTTCCGGTTAGTATTTCATCACCCAAGTGCCTAAACATCCTGCTATCACATAACAGTCGCAGGAACAACCTGGACAATGGCTCCAACTCCACCTGCAACTGCTTGTCTCGACAAATAGTGGGGTTGCAGTCAAGGATCTTCAGCAACCCCTCCTCTAGATGTGCAACGACTGCTATCCAGTGCATCTCTTTGACGAGGATGATGTAGTACACTCTTTTAACAAAGGCCCAATTGTGGCCATATTTGGGCTGATCCCCCTGTATATACTGTATAATTCTGTCATCAAAATGAAAATCATCAGGGATGAAGTCCAACTATACTAGGGCCAATCTTTTTTGCTTCGGTCCTTTTACTGCACCAATAGCAACGGCATTTTTAAGTAAAGTGCGAAATGCTGAAACAAACCTTTGGCCAAACGCCACATCAGTGATGGCATAGTCGGGATATAACAGATCACCATCAGTAGTCAGTCGTTGTCTCATCAGTGCCAATATCTCATCGATATGCTGCATCAAATAAAAACAACAAGATAAGTATGGAAAACATAGGCAAAAATAAGGAAAATTAAGCAAAAATAACTCACCGAGTCCTCAAGCCACGTGCCTATCGTCAACAACTTCTTAAACCATTCCCGGGGATAATCCCCTGTCTAACACTTTATATGGCCATTACTTCCTGATCCATTGTAATAGGCATAGAAGAGTTTTTTCTTTTCCTCTATTAGCCTATACAAATCGACATTTGCCTGTAATTTCCCTTGCCCACTTCCTCCCGCTTCCTCCATTTTTACATCCCCGCTTCCTTCGCCTCCCACCTCGCCCTCCTCCATTATCACCGCCCCACTTCCTCCACCAACCTCCTCTATTTCTGGTTCTTGCTCCATTTGTTTCTTAATTTTCTTCTTCTTTCCTCGTGTCACTACCATGTAAGGCGATTTCACAAACTTGCTCTTTCGACTCTCTCTTTTCAAGCCAGTTTGCACTTCAACCGCCTTTAATTCTCCACCAACTTCCTCCTCCATTGTACCAACTTCCTTCTCCACTGTACCAACTTTCTCTCCTAGCTTATCCACTTTCTCCTCCACCCTTTTCATGCACTCTTTCACACCTATGCATAAACGGCTTTGTAAAACTCTCAAACAAGCCGTTTATGAGGTCAACAACCTCATTCTCCCGACGCCGATGTCTCGACAAGCGGTACTTGTTTACCTTTGCTGAGGCATACGAACCTCTTCCTCCCTCTTCTTCTCCTCCTCCCGGACCTCGCGATTGGAGCTTCATCCTCCTCAGCAACCACGTTGTGAAGCAGTGGCCCCGCAACTCATCACATGGTGACCCTTCTAGGTCCGCTCAGGCGGTCTATCCCTTCATCGCTTGCATCCTCCAGTGCTTGAAAGATTTGAAATAGTCCTTTCCGCTTCAGCCCCAGTAGCTGAGAAAGGGACGACGAGTCCCTGCAATAAGAAACAAAATCAATCAGATTAAAGGAAATTTTAAAGCAACTGCAATGCAAAAGCTTAGTCCTTTAATCTTACCCCAGCCGCTTGAATCTCACTCTATTTGCTCGTAATCCAAATGGGTGTACCTCTGGACATGCCACCGAACATCCTAGGAAATTTTGTTGCACATCCAAACTGTTATTCCCCCCCCCCCCCCCCCCCCCTAGCGAAGATAGGGATAATCTCATACATCCAAGCCTACATTGTAAAAAAAAAAAACAGTTCATATTATAATTCAAACACATATGTTACAAAAAATATAATAAAAAGCTATTAATATTTACCTGCATTGCCCATGGGAAGCCAAACAAATTGTACATGCTTGGTTTATCCTTCCCATCCCATTGGGACTGCTTTAACGCCATGTCTAGTTTTTTCATGCTGCTGATGGTTTGCTCATATGATTTCAGTCCCCATGGATAAGAATTAAAGAACTTCAAGTTGTTTGCAATCAACAACCAATCTTTCTCAACAGCTTTTATTGAGTCACCAGCCAATAAGATCGAATGTAAAAACAAAACCAAGCACACTTTTATCTTCTCTTTATCAGTATATTCAACTGTTTCTAGACTTTTCTCTAAACCCTATGCTGTAATAGACTTAGCCCTCTACAAAACCTTATTATGAAACTGTATGGCTCCCCGACTATTCTTTACTGCCTCTGCCTTCTTATCTGGCACTTCCCCACATCATAAACCCGTCACGAGGGCATATTTCATTATGCCAAAATGTAGTGGCTTTCTGCCCACCACAAACCACATTTTTTTTTTTTTTTTTTTTTTGCATCTTACTGAGTGCAGCAACATGTAATGCACTCCCTGCCCCCAAAATGCCTTTTCCAATGATTTTCGAGTCCTAAAAAGTGACCGAAACAAGTGCGACTGAAATCTCTATTACCATTCCTAATTCCATTTAAAATGTCCTGTATTTTGTCAAAAACTTCCCAACTTGACATGATCGTCACCCTTGCAAGGAAGTAGGGCACCTTATCGCTTATAAGGTCCAACTCGTAGTCTGTGATGTTTACGGCCCGCACAATTTGCACAATCAATATAAACAAAATGTCAGCAACAAAAATAAACCAAAACAACTAATAAACAAGATATCAGCAACAAAAAATTACGACTGTGGTCGGTTAAGCGATGTCAGATCGGTTAAGAGATCTTGACTCTGCCTCGTGCAAGATCGCTTAAGCGATTTTATGTCTATGATTCTGCCTCAAAAAGATCGCTTAAGCGATCTTAAATCGCTTAAGCAACCAAGAGTCAACTTAATCAATCGCTTAAGCAATATAAATGATTGCTTAACCGATCTTAGATCTGGGCAGATGGAGTAAAAGAGGGTAATCGCTTAAGCGATACAAATGATCGCTTAAGCGACAGTTTCGAACGTACCCTTTCTTCGGCGGCCTGCTCGTTCTCGTCGGCCTCCTCCTCATCGCTTGAATCCTCAGAAGACTCCTCCTGGCCTGAATTGTCGCTGGAATCCTCCTCCTGGCCTGAATTATCACCTGACTCCTTGTCTTCAAAACCGTTTGACGATTCTTCCCTCTATTCTTGTGCCGCCAGCGTCTCCTCTCCCTGTAGACCACATTCACTGATCGGATGATCCACCAGAGCAGCCATTGAACTGCTTGCGCCACCGGAATCTAGGATTCGAAGTGGTGTTGGGTTGTCCTCATCATTGTGAGTGCCAGCCATGATTTTGCATTGAATTTGGTGTGAAAAATTGTAGTTTGGATCAGAAATATGGGTTGTATCGCCGAAAATCGTGCAAATTCTGTTTAGGGTTCAAGAAATCGATTTTAGGGTTCAAGAAATCGATAGAAAATCGTGATTTATCATCGAAAATCATAACTATATTCCGTTTAGGGTTCAAGAAATTGAGTTTACGATTGAATATGGTGTGGAAATTTGCGGGGTTGGATCGGAAATCGCCTGTCTCCCTTTGGTTCAAGAAATCGATTTTTGCCCTAATGAATTTCGATTAAGCGGGGTGAATAGTTAGTGGGGCTTGTTTTGAGAAATTTCAAATTTTTAAAAAATTTATTATGTCTATTCAACCCAAATATGTTTTAATCCTTTCATTTTAACCCATTTTACGTGTTTAGTTAGTGGGGCTTGGTCGGTTGAGCGATCTCTTCTAAAGCAGAATAAAATCTGCCCAGACAGATGATCGCTTAAGCGATCTTCGCTTTTACTCTTGGTCGCCTAAGCGATTTAAGATCGCTTAAGCGATCTCTTCCGAGGCAGAGTAAAATCTACCCAGATATATGATCGCTTAAGCGATCCTCTTGTATCACTTAAGCGATTCCTTGTTTTTAGTCTTGGTCGCTTAAGCGATCTCTTTCAAGGCAGAATAAAATCTGTCCAGATCTGTGATTGCGTAAGCGATCCTCTGTTATCGCTTAAGCGATTCATCGCTTTTACTCTTGGTCGCTTAAGCGATTTCGGATCGCTTAAGCGATCTCTTTTGGGGCAGAATAAAATCTGTCCAGATCTGTGATCACTTAAGCGATCCTCTGGTATCTCATGGGATTCTTCGCTTTCACTATTGGTCGCTTAAGCGATTTTAGATCGCTTAGGCGATCATTTGAGAAAAAATCTTGGTCACTTAAGAGATTTCTGTGGTCGCTCATATATCGCTTAAGCGATCATGAAAAAAAAAAATCCTACATTTCTCCTGTATTATGTAATAACCTGTCATTTATAACTCATTTTCCTCTCAAATACAAAAAGAATAAGCAGCAAAATGAAGTCATTTATATCAATCTAATCCATCACAGATCAAAATATAAGAGACATCAATGTAATTGTAAGTTTATACTTAAAATCATTCATAATATTGCCAAAAATGGACAAATCCTAAGCCACTTTGACAAGTTTTGGAATTCGTTATAATCACTGTCTGAGATCATTCTTTTGTACCATGCCTTGCCAGCAGCCTTGATTGGAAATGCCGCCACTTTGAGAAGTTTTCAAATTCGGTATAATCACTGTCTGAGATCATTTCATGGTACCATGCCTTGCCAGCAGCCTTGATTGCAGATGTCTCCTTCTGGCCACTAGCCTTGATTGCAGATGCCTTACTGACAGCCTACTCTAACAGCCCAAGCCAGTTTGAGGAGTTCCCTCTCATTGTTTGCCAGCAACCTACAAAATTATCCGGCACACCTGCAGCCACGTCAGCTTTTCTAAATAAAACATAAAAAAACAAAAAGTTTTTAAGGGCCAATTTGTTAAATGGAAAGTTGGGATGTCTAGGGAGTAAAATTTTCTCTCTTCACGAACCCAAGTTATGGAGTGCAAGATTGAAAAGCTCACTAAGTCCGTCTATTTCGATAAAGCTCTGTATAAGCATGACACTTGCAGCATCAGCACCACAACCCAAGTATCAACATCAACATTACATAAACTACAAAATTAAAAGTACAAGTTCCAAACCTTTTCATTGGGTTGTGGTCAGTTAAAACGGATCCATTTCCCCATGGAAGCACTCAACAGCCCAGCGCTCCAGAAAGATGGTCATTGTTTCGTCATTCAATCCATCCATCGGGTTGTTGGTCATGTTGAACTGAATAAATTTCAAGGCATATGCCCCACAATCAGCATTGCAATAGGAAGATGACATTAGCATTAGAATCAGCTTATACAACAATTCTATTATATAAGTTAGTTTTATACAAAATTTACCTTGACTCATTTGTTGGGACGAGAACGCGCTTGAGTAGCCACTTTCCGGTCAATGCTTCATCACCGAGGTGCTCAAACGTCCCGCTCTCGCGTAACAGTCTTGGAAACAACACAGACAGTGCCTCCAACTCAGCCTCCAACTGCTTGTCTCGACAAATTGTTGGGTTGCAGTCAAGGATCTTCAGCAACCTCCCCTCTAAGAGCGTGACGACTGCTATCCAGTGCATTTCCTTGACCAGAATGATGCGGTAGACACGTTTAACCTTTGCCTAACTGTGGCCATATTTGGGCCTATCCCCCATTACATACTGCATCATCCTGTCATCAAACTTAAAATCATTAGGGACGCAGTCCAAGTCTTTTGTGCCCGATCATTTTCGCTTGGCTCTTTTTGCTACAGATGTACCAATGGCCTTTTTCAATAAATTGCGATATGTCGATGCCAGTGTTTGGCCAAAGGCCACATCAGTGATGGCACAATCAGGATATAGTAGATCACCATTGCTGGTTTGTCGCAGCCTCATCAGTACCAATACCTCATTGATTTGTTGCATCAAATAAAAACAACATGATAAGTATACAATACCTCATGGAAAATATAAGCAAAAATAAGGAAAATTAAGCTTAAATAACTCACTGAGTCGTGAAGCCAGCTGCCCATCATCAAAATCTTTTCAAACCAATCCCGAGAATAATCCCTGGTCTTACACTTTACAAGGGCATCACTTCCGGATTCATTGTAATAGGCATATAAAGGTTTTTTCTTTTCCTCCTCTATTGGCCTATACAAATGATAGTGGACTCCATTTTTGTTTGCCCGCTTCCTCCCCCTTCCTCCATTTTAACATCCCCGCTTCCTTCGCCTCCCGCCTCAACCTCCTCCATTATAACTACCCCACTTCCTCCAAAAACCTCTTTAACCCCCTCAATTTTGGCTTCTTCCTTAATTTGTTTTTTTGTTTTCCTCTTAATTCCACATGTTAGTACGGTGTAAGGCGATTTCACAAACCTGCTCTTTTGGCTCTCTCTTTTCGGCCCAGGTTGCAATTTAACCGCCTTCAATACTCCACCAACTTCCTCCTGCACCCTACCAACTTCCTCCTCCACCTTAACAACTTTCTCTGCCACCTTATCCACTTTCTCCTCCACCCTTTTCAACTGCTCTTCCATCTTATCAAACAAACTCTTTATGAGGTCAACTACCTCACTCTCCCGACCCCGACGCCTCGGCAAAGCGGTACTTGTTGTACCGGTTTGCTGAGGCATACGAACTTCTTCCTCCCTCCCCTCCTCCTCCCTCCCATCGATTGCGCCTTCATCCTCCTCGGCGTCAACCACATTCTCAAGCAGTGGCCCTGCAACTGCCCTCACATGTGTGACCCTTTGTAGGTCCCGCGTCAGGCGGTCTATCCCTTCATCCCTTTGATCCTCCAATGCTCGGAAAGATGTGACATAATGTTGTTGTGCTTCACCCCAAGTAGCGATGAGGAAGGGACGGACAACCCCCTGCAATAAGAAACAAAATCAATCAGATTTAATCGACATTTTAAAGCAAGTGCATGTTCAAGCTTAATCCTTTAATCTTACCCGAGCTGATTGAATTTCAATCTCTATTTGCTCATAATCCGAATGGGTGCACTTCTGGTCGTGCCATCGCAACATCCTAGGAAATGTCTGTTGCACAACCGAAGCCCTAATCCTCTCCCATGCCTTAGCCAGGACAGGGATGGCCTCATACATCCAAGCCTATATTGTAAAAAAAACAGTCCATATCATAATTCAAACACATATATTAAAAAATATATATAACAAAAAACTATTAATATTTACCTGCATTGCCCATGGGAAGCCAAACAAATTGTACGTCGCCGGTCTATTCTTCTCGGCCCATTGGGAGTGCTTTAACGCCAGGTCTTTTGCTTGCAGGGACTCCATGGTTCGCTTAAATGATACCCGTCCCCACGGATAAGCATTAAAGAAGTTCAAGTTGCTTATAAACTTCACCCAATCAATATCAATGGCTTTTGTTAAGTCACTAGCCATTAGGATCGAATGTAAGAATAATACCAAGCACAGTTTGAATGTCTCTGAATCGTTAAACTCACCATCTTTTAACCTGTCCTCTAATTCATATGCCTTAATAGACTTGTTCCCCGCCAAAACCTTGTTAGCACAACCTTTTGGCTCCCGTACTGTCCGTTATTCTTTTTTCCTCAACCTCACCTGGCAATTCCCCACATCTTAAGCCAGTCACCAACGCATATTCCATCATCCCGAAACATACTGGCTTTCTATCTACCATGAACCACATTTCGTGTTTTTTGTTGCTTTTTATTGAGTGCAGCAACATATAATGCACTCCCGACCCCCAGAATGTCTTTTTCCATTTTGTGTCCATATCCCAAAAATGACTGAAACAAGTCTCTTTGAATCTCCTTTCACCATTCCTCACTGTCCCTAAAATCCCCGTTATTCTCGTTAAAACATCCCAACTTGACCTCACTGTCACCCTCACAGGGAAGTACGGTACCGTATCGCTTACAACCTCCAATCTGTACTCTCTATAGTTTACACTCTGGAAAATCTGCACAATCAATATAAACAAAATATCAGCAAAAAAAATTAAAACAAATCAAATATAAACAAAATACGCTTCGAAAGAATCGCTTAAGCGATGGGCAGATGATTCTGCCTCATACAAAATCTCTTAAGCAATCTGCGATACAAAGGATCGCTTAAGAGATTATAGATCTGGGCATATTTGGTTCTACCTCGGAAGAGATCGCTTAAGCGATCTTAAATCGCTTAAGCGACCAAGAGTAAAAGCGATTTATCACTTTTGCTCTTGGTCGCTTAAACGATTACAGATCGCTTAAGAGATCTTGTACGAGGCAGAATCAACATCTGCCAGATCTAAGATCGCTTAAGCAATCTTTTATATTGCTTAAGCGATTTATCACTTTTACTCTTAAGCAATCCAAAATAGCTTAAGCGATTAAGAGTAAAAGTCATCAATCGCTTAAGCGATACAAAGGATCACTTAAGCGATCTTAGGTCTCGGCAAGTACAAATACCTTTTCTTCGGTGGCCGCCTCCTCTTTGGCGACCTCCTCCTCTGCAGCCTCCTTCTCCTCCTCTAAACTCTCACCGGACTTCTCTTCTTGGCCTGAATTCTGCCCGGCCTCCTCTTCCTCTTCAGAACCGTTTTGCTCCTGTTCTTTCTCTTGTTGTGCCGCCGTCGTCTCTGCTGCTGGAACACCTTCACTGATCGGAGGATCCACCGGAGCAGCCATTGAACTGCTTGCATGGCCGGACTCTACAATTCGAAGAGGCGTTGGGTTTTTCTCCTCATTGTTAATGTCAGCCATAGTTTTAAGAAAGGAAGAAGCTTTAGGATTGAATTTGGGTGTGAAAATTCGTCAGAATGTGGACTGTTATCGCCGGAATGTGAAATGTTATCACCGGAAATTGCTAAGATGCGTTTAGAGATTGAAGATATCGATTTTTACCTTAATTAGTTTCGATTAAGAGATTTTCACTATGTTTGGCTTACTATTTTTATCCAGATTCTGGATCCTATTCTCCAAATAATGTTTGGCACACTATTCCAAGAATATTACCCTATTTTTTTAATTACTTTTAGACCCCATAAGGTTATTAATTTCATCAAATACACCCTAAAAAAAAAGTTTAAAAATTATCAAAAACACCTCCGCAACCCATACTCGCCAGATTCTGGCAACCACCGTCGGTGGTAGCCGAAATCTATACAACGGCCAACCTGCTGACCATAAATTCTGAAAGTTCACCGATCTGGCCTTTTTCGGCCAAATCCATCACGGATTTGGCCGAAAAAGGCCAGATCTGGCCATGAACGACGGCCAAGAAATGGCCGTCGTTGAGGTCACGACGGCCAAATCTTGGCCATCGTTGACCGAAAACGACGGCCATATCTCTGACGGCCAAAGATGGCAGTCGTTTTGGCCTTTTTCGGCCGTCGACGCCACGAAAGGCCGTAGATCTGGCCTTTTCCGGCCAGATCTGTGGTGGATCTGGTCGGAAAGCCATAACGACTCGTTACGACACAGATCCGACCTGTCTGTGTCGTAACGTGATTTTTCGGCCAGATTCCAGCGTGGTGGCCAGAATCTGACACTGCAGGTAGTAGGGGTATTTTTGTCAATTACATGTTGGGGTATTTAACCATTTTACATATTTAATGGATCATAACTACCCACGTTAGCTTTTCTAAATTAAAAAAAAAATGATAACAGTTTCAAAACCATTTTTTAAACCAAACTTGCGATGATCGGTCAACTAAATTTTCTCCTCAAAACCCGCCATGTTAACCAGCTTTTGTATTTAATGGGGTAGCTACCGTAATTAGCATTCCATCTTTCTCATTAACCATTCCGTCCATTCCTACTTTTATACATTGACATTGATGTGGACTCAATACTCTTAAAACGTGCTGTCAAAACTGCACAGGTGACGAGTATCTGAATTATGTAAACGCGGGATTTGGGGGTATGAAGTTGTCTCTGATTGTAAGTAACTCACCAACTTTAACTGCCAACCGTCTGTAGCCGCAGCCTTTAATACAGTCTATGACGAGTCGTTTGACTATTGGTTTAAGCGATCAAAGATGACATTACAGCTTCCACTTAATTATCACCGTGCGATTAGGTTAGGTCCTCGAGATGTCGTAGCCTTCTTGATTACAGTCTTGTGACAGTAACGATCGGAGCGGTGGGACCATTACTCTTTAATTGTACCACTCAATATTTCTCTTCTTTCATTATTATTAATAAATTTAAATCTAGATAGTTAAATCAATTTTGATATTTTTTCAAACGTGTATAATTTGTCATCGTATAACCAGATGTCTTTAAAAAAAAAAAAAAAAAAAAAAATCAAAAAAAATTAAATTAAATTCCTAAGATTAATTAATAAATTTTATGATTTATTAACTTTAAATTATAATATTATATAATTAAATTAATCACAAATTAAAAATCTATATTATTTCTTCTCAACCATCATATCATTTGTAAGATTAATGTTAATATATATATCCTATTTGTATTATCATTATCATGCAAAATAGGCAATGTATCCTCTATTCACTTTCTTCATGCAAAATGAGTAAATATGGAAAGGTTTTAGTGAACCGGGTTGGATGACCCAGATCCGACCCTAAAAATTTTTTGTCCTTTGGCTCATTAATAAACTCGTATCAATATTTTAAGGATATGAACCGATACGTATCGTATTGTAGGTGCATATCAACATATCGAAAGGTTTAAGATATACGTATCGTTGACAACCCATATCGAATCGTATCATAAGATATGTATCATATATCGTAGATACTAATAACTATGATAATAGCCTATACAAAACTATATGAATATGATAGCACATTAGCACCTAATTTTCCAGAGTTGGCAATTTGATCGATAATTTCATTCATGAACGTTGATAAGATTCTTCTATTTAGCAACATCCTAGGATAGAATAGCTTTAAAATAAAGTGAAGGATGAGGTTTAAACAAGGAAAGGCTTATAGTGGATACTTGGGTATCTAAGATGAGAAATGACTAATTAAGGGTGATCGGTTTCGGATACCTTGTATTTTTTAAGGAACCAGAACTGATCAATTTCGGTTTCTAAAAACCTGAAACTGGAGCCTGAAACATATGTTCCAGTTTCGATTCGATCCTACCTTTTATCCATACTCATCCAGACTGAATACGCAACAAAATGCTTCCAAGAGTACATTAACACCATTAAATAGCTCAATTATCTTCCATCAGTGACGATTCAACTTATAATAATTGATATCTCTAATTCATTTGTAGAGATGTAATTAATAGAAAGATTTGCCCGTCTCTCTTACTTCAATTTTGTTTCTAATTGCTTGTGTCGGGTTAATGTGTTTGGTGATGAAGTCTCTGAGTTGTCTTGTCACCCTCTTCAATAAACCAACAAGTTGCAGCTTTCAATCAATTTATGTCTGCAACTGACACAAGTGAGCGTGGCCTACAATAATAAAATTCAAACCAACTACCAAACTTATGTCCAATCCCGTACTTCAGGAGCAAAACCGGCCGCACATTCCGCATAGAATACTACAGCCAAAACTAAGAGATTTCAAAATTCTGTGTATAATTCAAATAATACCTCAAGAAACACTTTATTTCTTTCAGTTTATTATTCAGTAATATTTTTGAATGACGTTTAACAACATTAATCAACCACCCAGGAACATGGGAAGGTATCATGTGTATATGAAAAAATAATTTTATCAGTTTTCTTTTTTTAAATAAAGAATAAATATAGCAATCCGAGCACGTTGATGGAAAGATCTCAGCCACGGATGGCCCAGTAGCGGATCCAATTAATGACTTGTGGGGACTAGAGTCCCCACTCAACTTTTGAAAAAAATATATATCTTATATTTATTTAAATTTTACACTTATAGATAATAGAATTATCAGATTGTGGGAACAACCTTTACAGTTAGTTTAGATTTTATTTTTGTAAAGCCCTATTTGTAATCCAAATATATATATTTCATATTTTTTGTGATTTTTATTTTTATGCAAGAAGATCTGTTAGTTTTTAAAAGTTTTATTAGGAGTGAAAATGAAAGGAATAAGAACCGTTGGGTTTGCATTTAACTGAGGGGAGAAATCTAGATATTTTTACATGAGAAAGTTAATGTGACGAGATTATGGTGAGAATAAGAGAATCTTGGAGCAGTTTCATAATTCAAAGAAGTTGTTTTATATATAAATTGGGTTGTTTGTCAAAAATGAAGAAAAAGAGAGAAAAGTCCACAAAGAAGAAAGAAAGAAGAAGCAAAGGAAAAGGAAATGGGTTTGGTTAGTTTTATCTATTTGATTTTTCTGTACTTGAGTTGATAGTACTTGAGAACCAGATTGAGATTTATGTTATTGACATACGTTCTTGTGATAAATTTGTTGAGTTACAAGGAATTGATGATTTGGTTAAGAATTTAGTTCGGTTTAAAAAGAAATTTTGTATACGTTGGTGTATAAGCTTGTGAAAGTTACATTGGTTTTATCAGTTGTGACTGCGACTGTTGAAAGAGTTTTTTCTACAATGAATCTTGTGAAAAATCGATTATGTAATTGAATGGGAGATCAATGGATGAATGATTGTTTAGTCATCTATATTGAGAAAAATGTATTTGATACAATTGATAATGAGATGATTATCCAACGTTTTTAGAGTAGAAAAACTAGTCAAAGATAATTGTAGAAAAATTGTTCTACTTTTATAAAAAGTATATTTTTTGAAGATATTTATTTGTATTTTATAACTTTTATTTGTAGTTATGGTTGGTTTAAATTTTTTTTTTTTTTTTTTTTTTTTTTTTTGTTTATATTTGCGCTCTAGATCCGCCACTGACGGATGCAATGAATATGAGAATTAGTAACTGGAACAGAGTATGTGATTGTTAACTTCACAAGAAAGAGCTTTCCGGAACTGTAAAAGCCACATGAATATCTGTATACGAAAAGTCGAGCTTCCAAGTAGATCTCCTCCAACCAGATACTGAAATAGTTTAAGAAGGATTTATTCTGCGACATCTTTGCCTCAATGACTGCCTTTGAAGAAACTTTTCCGATGATCAAAATGTCTCAGGAGAAATCCCTGAACCTGTCAAAAACATTTCAACCAGGGGATGGTAGATTCTATTAATAGTTATCAACCAAAATATTTGTAAAGAAAACTGCCCAAGTGGAGGTGAGAAACTATTTATCCCCCACTAACTACATAAATCCCGACAATATTAATACGGAAGATAAAAGCCAAAAATCAGTCATGCAAAGCAATAGAAAACGAGAAACAGAGGTGGAACAATGTGCAATACCAGAATTATTAACAGCTCGTAACAGTCATTTGTCTTCAGCATTAACAGAATTACACGTGGCAGTCTTCTTAGAAGCTCTGAGATCTGAGGAAAATACTCTGATGCGCATTAGGTTAGTTCCTCGAGATTGTCGTAGCCTTCTTGACCACAGTCTGGTGACAGTAAACGATCGGAGCGGTGGGACCATTACTCTTTAATTGTATCACTCAATATTTCTTTTCTTTCATTATTATTAATGGCCGAACAACTTGTCATACCCAAAGTTTACCGTAACGACAAGTTGGTACTTAAAAGTTTTGAAACGATAAATAGGTACTTTCCATTATATTCTGTTAATGATTTTTGTTTATTAATGTGAAAAGACTAAAATGCCCTTCAAAGTTTCAATTTTTGTTTTTTATAAATTTAAAAATTTCTAAAAACCCCCTAGGTTTGCTAATGTAATTAAACACCCCATATATAAAAAGTTTGCTAAATGACAAAAACCCCCCACCCCCCAGTGCCAGATTCCGGCCACCATCGCCGGAATCTGGTCAGAAAACTGCATTACGACACAGATCCGTCGGATCTATGTCGTAACGTGCCGATCGCCACGGATCTGGCCGGAAAAGGCAAGATCTGGCCGTCGAACCAGCAGCCAAATCTGGCCTTTTCCGGCCAGATCCGTGGCAGATCTACTGCCAGATCTGGCCTTCGACGCCGCAGATGGAGTTTTGCGGCGTCGCGGCCAGATCTAGCCGTAGATCTGGCCTTCCGCCGCCAGATCAGCCACGGATCTGGCCAGAAAAGGCCGATCGACGCGTTACAACACAATCCAACGGTCTGTGTCGTAACACAACTTTCCGCCATCCGCGGTGGTGGTGGGAATCTGGCACTTGCGGGTGGGGGGTGTTTTTGTTATTTTATAAAATTTTTATATATTGGGGTATTTAGTGAAATTTGTAAACTTAGGGGGTTTTTTGAAATTTTTAAATTTATAAAAAACTAAAATTCAAACTTTTAAGGGCATTTTAGTCTTTTCACTATTAATAAACAGTAATAAACAGAAATCGCTAACAGAACATGACGAAAAGTACCTATTTGTCATTTCAAAACTTTTTGGATACCAACTTGTCGTTACGATAAATCTTGGGTATGTGTAAGTCGTTCTCCCTTATTAATAAATTTAAATCTAGATAGTTAAATCAATTTTGATATTTTCAAAGGAACAAATATTATCAAATTTTTTGAACAGTATATCATTTATTGTATCATATAATATAATACACTTTTTTTTTAAATAATACAAAAATTTTAAAAGTTAATATCAGCCTCAATTAATTAATGAATTTTGTAATATTGTTAGTTTTAAATTATAGTATTATATAATCAAAATTAATCATAAAATTAAAAATCTATATTATTTTCTCTCAACCATTCATATTATTTCTAAGATTAATGTCAATATTTATATATCTACTTATGTTATTATTATCATGTAAAATGGGCAACACATCTCCCTTTTCACTTTCTCCATACAAAATTGGTAAATTTGAGCAGGTTTTAGTAAATCGAGTTAGGTGACCCAGATCCGACCCAAAAAAATTTTTTGGCCTTCAGCCCAAATTAATAAGGTCGTATCGATATTTTTAAAGATATGAACTGATACATATCGTATCGTATGATACATATCGAAAGGTTTAGGATATACTCTCTGATACATATCGTTGGCAACCTCTATCGAATTGTATCATAGGATATGTATCGCATATCATAAGATACTAATAACCATGATAAATAGCCTATACAAAACTATATGAATATGATAGCATATTAGCACCTAATTTTTCAGATTTGGCAGTTTGATCGATGGTTTATCATTCGTGGACGTTGAGAAGATTCTTCTATTTAGCAGCATCTTAATCAGATGGCATAGCTTTAAAGTAAAGTGAAGGACGATGTTCAAACAAGGAAAGGCTTATAGTGGATACTTGGGCATCTAGAGACGAGAAATGGCATAATGAGGGGTGATCGGTTTCGGATACCTTGCATTTTTTGAAGAAAGCAGAACCGGTCAATTTCGGTCCCTAGAAACTTGGAACTGGAACCTGAAACATATTTTTCGATTCTAGTTCTGAGTATCCACGTAAATTTTATTACCCCTACTTTCTGAAAAATGACAAAGACACCCCTAAAAATTATAATATACCCCCAATAGTTTACAAAAATTATAATTTAGTTATGGTTCTCACCCGGGTACCCAGACCTCAATTTTGGTTTCGATTCTCGGTTCTAGCATTGTAGAAACCGAAATGAGACCCAAGAATTTTCGATCTTAATTTTCTAGAACCAGACCCAAACTCTTCTAGCATTGGTTCTAATTTCGATTCTACGTTTTATCCATGCTCACCTCCAGACTTAATAAGCGACAAAATGCTTCCAAGAGTACATTAACACCATTAAATAGCTCAATTATCTTCCATCAGTGACGATTCAACTTATAATAATTGATATCTCTAATTCATTTGTAGAGATGTAATTAATAGAAAGATTTGCCCGTCTCTCTTACTTCAATTTTGTTTCTAATTGCTTGTGTCGGGTTAATGTGTTTGGTGATGAAGTCTCTGAGTTGTCTTGTCACCCTCTTCAATAAACCAACAATGTTGCAGCTTTCAATCAATTTATGTCTGCAACTGACACAAGTGAGCGTGGCCTACAATAGTAGTATTCAAACCAACTACCAAACTTATGTCCAATCCCGTACTTCAGGAGCAAAACCGGCCGCACATTCCGCATAGAATACTACAGCCAAAACTAAGAGATTTCAAAATTCTGTGTATAATTCAAATAATACCTCAAGAAACACTTTATTTCTTTCAGTTTATTATTCAGTAATATTTTTGAATGACGTTTAACAACATTAATCAACCACCCAGGAACATGGGAAGGTATCATGTGTATATGAAAAAATAATTTTATCAGTTTTCTTTTTTTAAATAAAGAATAAATGTAGCAATCCGAGCTTGAAACCTGCACGTTGATGGAAAGATCTCAACCACGGAGGCAATGAATATGAGAATTAGTAACTGAAACAGAGTATATGTGATTGTTAACTTCACAAAGAAAGAGCTTTCCGGAACTGTAAAAGCCACATGAATATCTGTATACTGAAAAGTCGAGCTTCCAAGTATATCTCCTCCAACCAGATACTGAAATAGTTTAAGAAGGATTTATTCTGCGACATCTTTGCCTCAATGACTGCCTTTGAAGAAACTTTTCCGATGATCAAGAATGTCTCAGGAGAAGATCCCTGAACCTGTCAAAAGAACATTTCGACCAGGGGAGTGGTAGATTCTATTACTAGTTATCAAAAACAAAATAATTTGTAAAGAAAACTGCCCAAGTGGAGGTGAGAAAACTATTTATCCCCCACTAACTACATAAATCACGACAATATTAATACAGGAAAGATAAAAGCCAAAAATCAAGTCATGCAAAGCAATAGAAAACGAGAAACAAAGAGGTGGAACAATGTGCAATACCAGAGAATTATTAACAGCTCGTAAACAGTCATTTGTCTTCAGCATTAACAGAATTACACGTGGCAGTCTCCTTAGAAGCTCTGAGATCTGAGGAAAATACTCTGATGCATACATCTGCAAAGAATTGTCACGCAATTTGTAAGAATCACCCTTTTCACAAATCATCATGTCCACCCATAGCAAGAAGTGTTTTTCTTTTTCTCATGACAGTAATTTTAACAGAAACCAAAGGGAGGAAGGGGGGAATACAAGTTCACCCCTTCTAGAAAGTTATATCAGCAATGTCAGCACGGACCATGTGAGTCGAAATAAACATAGTAAATTTTGACAAAGCAATATTCTTCAATAGAATATCACCTGTAATTCAGATCGATCGCCTTCAGTGCCTTGTATGACCAAATGGTCAACAGCAGGATCGATGACCCTATTCCAGGGCCTCATAGTTAGAATCCCTGCAAATAGTGCATAAAGATCCTCACCAGCACCCAATTTGACACTATTTTCCTTTATTGCATTAGCATCAGCAAATATCAATCCCTGCAAAGAATGTGAACCAGAAAAAAGATAAAAGTAAGTTGGTCATAATAGAAAACCTAGGTGCATAAAAGATGGAGAAAACAAAAACTCAAGGAAAACAATGGCACCTTCCAAAGAGCAGCATAGTTAAATCTAGTAGAGAAGTCCAGTTCCTTGTATAGACCATGGTCAAGAAGTACCAATTGTGGTTCTTTCTTACCTACATTCAAGAAAGGAAAATAAGAATTTGTAATATATACACACGCAACTATTGTGGCACCAAATTACGCACCAAGTAAAATGCACATGATAAAGCAATTACATAGATCCAGGTTATGGGCATGGATTCAATGGTCCAACTGATTGCATTTACATGCCTATGCATTAAAATTGCATATATGTAAGGAATTTCAACATTAAATTATATATCAATCATAATGGCGTAAAACAGGTAGTTTCACTTTCCACACAACAAAAAAAAAGTGACACAACTAAGCATATAACAATATATCAGACTAAAGAGTAAGACCTTACGACTTCACTGGGTAATCATATATTCTGAGGCTTATGATTAAGCCCCCTAATGGTCAAGACTAAATATCTCTTTATTGACAACAATTAAATTTTACTTGAGCAGCTTTAAACATTTTCAGTAGTATTAATGTATTAAAATCTTGGAGTAAGATGGCGTTTATAAAACAAACATCACAGCAGTTTTCTTGTTGTCATCATTAGAATCCACAAACACACATGTATGTTCATATAGATATGTACAATGTGCTGACAGAATGATAGACAGAAGAAGATTCAGTACTATCTGTACTCCAACACAACCAAGAAGAATATCAGGTCAGTTGCAGAAGTTATTAAAAAGTTGCTCATATAACGATTTTAACAGTGAAAATCATCACCTAATATACTCTTTCTGCCAGATGGCAATGGGCGAACAAGCAAGTTAGCAGCATGTGGGTCACAATGCACAAAACCATGCTTAAATATCATCTCAGCAAAAGCTTGACTAACCTGTACGGCATAAGATTAAAAGCATCAAAATCATTTCCCCCTTTTCGACATCAAAAAGGATTATAATCTTCACATAAAAGATAAATAGTTCCTTTTCCACTTAAAACTATGTTTTTCTTCAAAGGTAAGCCATTGTTTTAGAAGAAAAACACAATTTTATAGAAAACAAGAAATCAATTAGAATAAAAAAGTATACTAGCAAATCATGAAAGGAAAAAAGAAAAAGAAAAAGAAAATAAAAGAAACGCAGTCAATTAAAAATTGACAAGAGTCACTCACTTGCAATCAATGGGATCTCTTGTAATGCAAAATTAGTCATCCTAAAGGTAAGACATGCCAGCTTATTACCAACGATATTCTAAACAAACAGAAAATGTGCATGTATTATCAAAGCTATAAACTTACTAATCTGGCAACTTCATGGGGTTGAATACCAAGTTTTCGAATGGTCTTCACATCATTCACTTGTGCACCATCCATAAATTCCATGGTCAACAACTTTGAAGTACTTAAATTCCAATGCACCCTTGGTGAATATATATAATTTGCAATATAAGGAGATAGCTTCCGAAAATTCTCCATAACCTTTTCACTATTCTTGGCTTCAAGCAAAAAATCTAGTTCCTGATAGCCAAAAGTAAAAGACAAACACATGTTACACTGCTTTGGATGACAAAACATTTCATAAAATTAAGAGAACACAAATTAGAATTACAAGAGAAAAAATCCACCACCACTACAGGTTCCTCATCTCACAAAAGGCAATGAATCAGAAAACATATAAGAAAAATAAGAGTTAAATGTAATATATGATTTATAAATTGAGTTGAAATACAGAACATCTAGTTCAAGAGGCCATTGACAACGACTACATGGAAATATACATATATATCATACAATCTCCCCCTGGCTAACAGGCTGCTTTTCCAAGTGATAGCATCAGGATTGCTTTATTAAACAAACATCTCTCACTATCATTTAGAAAATTTTGACAATGTATGTGCAGAAAAGTTACATGGGACATTATTACACCATTTTTCTTTTTTTACTCTCATACAGTAATATAGCATCAAATTGAACAAGAAAACCCACTGACTATCTTTCTGTTCTACAAAGTTTCTTAATATCCACATACTTTACACATCAAACACTAGTTGAAGAAAAACTCATACGTATGAAGCAAATAGTACAGAGCCTCAAGGTTGCTATGTGTGTCCATGACTGGAAACATGGTTTAACTTCCCAAAATAGTTTAGTTTGAAAATGTTGGAGCGGAAGCTTAAAAGTTAAAAAAATCCTCAACTATAAAATTTATGTCATGATTTCAAATAATTGAAAATAGAAACCTAAAGGAATTTCATTTCTAACAAGTCTATAGAAGTTCAATTACATAGCAACAGTATTTGCAATAAGCAATTAGATTTTGGTTTGCTGCCTAGATCCCATATTATAGAACTATAAAGACGTTCAAGCAGTAGCAAACATCGAAACAAAGCATATGTCATAAGCATTATATTACAAAAAAATTATTCCATTTATAATTTCAAGAAGTTATCATAGTAGATTTCACAATTAACATATGACATGCATGAATCATGAGGCAAATATTTAAAATGAAAGAGCTTATTAAAGTAGTTGACCTTGGGCAAACTTTCACGCATTTCATCAAGCAACCATCTGCATATGTAAGTCAAGAAAATATCAATTAACACTAGAAGTTTCAGAAAATGTAAAAAACATTTTAATAGATGCATACAGAGTGACCCATCCAGGTATATACTAGAAATGAAGGAGCATCCACATATTTTAGTAATCTTTCGTGCAAATAAATGCTTTATCAATGCATGGAAGATGGAGAGATAATTAACAAGCACATGAAACTTACAGAAACACACCTATAGTCAAAAGAAGGAAAAAACTTATGAAGGGTATTCACAATCAGCTCCACAGTGGCATGATCTGCAGCCGCAGTATCGGTCATGTGAGTGTGCTGAACCTGAATATTGGGGAAATAATTTTGACATAGAAAGAAATTAAGAAACATTCTAATCCTATATCTGTGCATAATTTGCATGGAAACTTGGACTCTGCTCAGCAAACAAAATGAAATTTGGGGTAAAAGTAACAGTGAATAAAACCTTAACAGCAACTTTTTGGCCATCATGCGTACGAGCTACATGAACTTGTGCAAGGGAGGCACTTGCTATAGGAACAGGATCAAATTCTTCAAAAACCTGCACATAAGATAGACTAAAACATCAGCAAGCGCATGTCTCCATTGGGAACAACAATATGACCAAGAAAACTCAACATGAGAATTTGTGCATAAATATCATTAGCACCATTATCACTTGAAAATAATTCCTTGACCTGTTTGTATGCAAATGTAAGATGAAGGAGTTGCAAGAAGGTGAGTAAAGATCAAGTAAATAGTACATACTTGATCAGGTGTTTCTCCAAGCTCTTTCTTGAAAACTTCACACACTTGATCATATGACGAAACTGGACATTTATTCAACATAGATTCCCTCATTATCTGGACATACTCTTGAGGTACCAAGTAATCCTGTTTGGTTAAGAAAAAGTAAAAGTATTGTCAATGTATACTCTCAACGGAAGAAGATTAATCAGATCAAGCCATTGCTAATCAAATCCAGAGAAACTGATTCTAAAGTTAACATGAGAAACGGAGTTCAAGTTCAATTTTTAATCATAAACACATGAGCAAGCAGATTGAGAGCATACCAACTGCCCAATGTGTTGACCAAGCTTGATATATATTCCTCCATTTCTGAAACATAATTCTTGAAGCTTACGTGCGGACCTGAGGTGAACTTCATGCTTGACCTGTGCTCTCTCACTACTTCCTTCCGGAAGTCCAAACAGAGAATACTCATAATCTAGTGAAAATTCATATAAAAAACAAATTATAACTCGAAATCCATGGCATACAGGAAAGCAAACATGAGAAGACATTACGGTCCCTTCCCCTACAAATGAAATTTTACAATGTACTACTAACATTCAACATCTTACATCTTACAGTAGGCAAATAAATTAAAAGCAACAAAGCTTTCAAAATTTAGTTATATGTACAACTAATTTAATTCAATAAGTATTATATTGAATATAAATGCAGTCCAAAAATAGAATACAAAAAAATTGATTTAAGTTATTAAACTTTTTCTTATTTAAAAAATGAATTGCAGACGTCAAGGACTATAACAGACAATAATACAAGAGTCGTTCAAATTCAAACGAATAGGTACCGAAAGCAATGGAGGCAGCGGTAATGGAGTCCCTGACGAGGCGGAGAGGAACGGCTGTGCAGAGCTTGAGTGCCGTCGCTGGATCATCTGAGGTGGATACAGTGGCGGCAGCCCAGCCGCCGCATAAAGCTGTGGCTGCTACAGCGAGCTTGGTTCGAGTGCGCCACAGGGATCGCGTGGCCATTTTTTAACCGATTAACAGTACAGAACAGCGAGCGAAAGTAACGCCATTTAAGTAGTATTAAGGCAAATTGTAGATTGCGATGCCGAACTTTTGAACGTCTTTTGGGTATTGATATTGGGCTGGGCTAGGCTGGGCTGAGCCGGCCCGCGTAAATTAACATGATTGCTTTCGTGGATTCGAGATATTCGGGCCTTCCTGCGTCTTGGTAGGTGTGAACTATATTGTTCAAAATTCAAATTATGCTCATGAATAGAGAAAAAGGAAGGTAAATGATAATTTGTAATACTTTAGGGTGTTTTTGATATTTTAATGTAGATTTAAATAATAGATATTTATGTTGAATAAACGTAAAATTTAGAGGGTAGAAGAGTAACCCAGAAATGTCAAAAATTCAAAACAACAACACGAGTGAGAAATCAAGTAATTCAAAACTCTAGAGTTCAAATGAAGCATGATATATAGAAGAAACACATGACTCATGTGCATCATGTTAAAGGAAACTCTATAATTGAAACCTTGACAAAGATTAAAATAAAAACAAGTCCACAATAATCTCACCTATATTGGACTAAATTATTTGATCTTACATTATCATCTTAATTAATGTTTCCACATGGGCTAATGCCATATTATTAGGGATCTTCCAATGTTGAGATTAAGAATAAAACAATATTTAGCATCATAACACTTGTATGGAAAATTCTTTTACTTTAAAATTATCATTTTCGTATAAACATGACTAAACATATCTTTAATATAAATAAAAGGGGCATAACCTTTTTGTTGAAGTGAAGACTGAAATAAGGCCTCTCTACACTTTAATGAAACGCAGCGTTTGACATTTGGCTGAAACAAATCTTGATCATTGATTTCTTCCAAATCTGATGGCTGAAAATCATAGATGAGTCAACAATATAAAAGGAGAGAGATGCACAGTCAACGAATGAATTTTTGCTGCTATTTTCTTCTGCTTTACAGTTTACTCTTTTACGCGTTTTTCTTCTCTGTTTTGAGCTGTTTGGTTCAGTTTAGAAACTCTCGTAACTTGGGTTGATTGGGTGGTTTAGTAATCAATCAAGAGGGTTGATTTGCTCTTGTTCTTGGGGATTCCAGGTGAGCGTCTCTAGGAGAAGTTACGGTGTGGGTTTCTTGTAACAAAGAGAGATTGATAGGCTTGTAATCATTTGATTGGATCTTTACAAATAATTAGTGCAGCGAGCTCTCCCATTTCCGGAGCTCAACGTAGACGTAACTTATCCAATTTGGATAAGTGAACCACGATATATCTTGTGTTCTTTGTTGATGTGATTAGTGTGAATCTTTGTGATTGTTTGATTTGGTGGTTAGTTTGTGTTTACTGGTTGATTATAACACTTTTTGTGAAGGTCATTAGATCAATTTTTTAGGCATTAAGTTACGTTTTAATCATAGATAATTATCCTAAAAGATTCCCAACATATCGTAGTATTCTCATTCTTTAAATTTTACAGTTTTTCAAACCCAAAAAACAAACAAAATCATATGGTTATCCCTTGGAGCATTTTTTTTTTTTTTTGCATATCTTCCGGTCATGATGTCAACTCTGTACTCTATTCTCATAAGATTATATACTAGCTAGTAGTTAGTAGAATACTACATCATACGCATATTATAAACGTATATGATTGTAATATAGAGCAATTGCAATGTCTTAATTGTCAAATGATTTTAAGAAACTATTAAAATACTTTTACAAAAAGGGTATTTAATAATTTTTTAAAACCACTTTAATGCTTGAGAGTTGAAACTTGATAATCTTCCAAAGAACGAAAGAAATTATTTATTATGATACGTTCGGAATCTTTTGCTATAATTATATGATTCAAATGAAGATTAAAGAAATTATATGATTCATTCACTTTATATATATAAATTGATTGAACCATATAATTAAATAAAAACCATAGAATATATAGAAAAGTATCTCACTTCCAACATCACAACATTTGTCACATCCTCCATGACATGGACAATATCATTAAAAATAAAAAATAAAATAAAAACCCTCCCCCATCCATGCCTTTATATCCATTAATAAATAAATTAAAGCAAAGTTTTATCTCATGCCATCCATCCACTCTTGTTTGCATTCTCAATTCTCAAATATTAAAAACAAATAAAATCTTTCGCATTCTAATTCTCTTTATTCTCCGCGTGTAGCCCGCGTGTACTTCCGCTTCACCAATACGTTTTAGGGGCCTCCACATGTTTCATTTTCTTGAAGGAAAAAACCACTTTTGTTTTTGTTTTCTGTTTTTGTTTCGATTAAACCCATTGCGTGGCGAACTATAAATTGAATAGCTTAATGAGAAGCATCATCAATATATTGTAACCCTGTCTTTATTTTCTCGTATTTTTGTACATCAGAATATGGCTAACTGCCACGTTGTTTGGTTTCTTGAATCGTCACATATTATACAACACAAGATATTGACAATTTATTTTTTGGGCTTATTGAATTATTAAATTTATATGGTTACTTCACCGTGTTATAATGCCAAATCAGTGAATAATATAAGACTTTGCATTATTAAAATGTGTTCTATAAGCCAAATTCATAACTTAACAATTAAGAGAATAGAGTACTATCCCTCATTTTACTTTATCCGATCATGTTTTACACTCGAAATTTGTATTTGAGAGTGTGAAATCTATCCTTCCAAACAATATGTTTTAGCATGTTTTGACTTTTTTTTTTTTTTTTAATTAATACATCCGAACCAACTTACACATACCTCAACTAATATTCGAGAGAGATTACCGTAACAACCTATTGTCACGGCCTTCCACTTAGATATCAATGTTGTGTTTTGACTTTGCTTTAATTAGATTAACAAAATCAAATTCAAGACCCATAATTTTTTTAAAATATTTTCAACAAAATACAATCGGGACATGGAGAAATATGGGTATCTTTTCCTATAAAATAATAAAAATAATTTCAATAAATTCCATTGTTAATGCGTCAGTAATGATATATTATATTGGAATAATTTCTAGAATTTGAGAGGTTAGCACAGTTTATGAGTGTGACAAGAACAATTTTTTTCCGGCCAAAGGCGGCTTCGAGAACACGTATGGCCAATAGGGCCACATGTTTATATTTATCAACTACGTCGTCAAGAAGGAAAATATCTCCAATAGAATTCCTCCTCTTTATTTGGTTTGACTATATTTTTTTTTTAAATGGCCGCTTAGCTACTCCACTAGGAAATAAAAAAATAATTATGAGATAATATCACATTATTAATTTCATGGTTTACTTAATACATTTTGGATGTTCATGTTTATTTTTTATTTTTGATAATCAAGACGTTTGGGTTAATTTATACGCACCTTAATTAATCTTAAGACTCTATTAAACAATAAACATCCACAAGCCTTGGTGGGATTCTTGAACACAAAATCTCTGAGTAACTAAGATCTTGTCATCCGGGTACAAGCCAAATGGTTCTTTAGATGTTTACGTTCTTCTCCTTTTCACTATTCTTTTTAATTATCATATTGTTGGTTTTTGTCTAAAGCGATGACATGGGTTTAAATTATTTATTATATTTATTAGGATTGAATTTTGGAAACTGTTTTTTTTTTTTTTTTTTTAAACAATTCATTAATTTGTGAAGTGATTTATAGGATATGAGTTGCTTTCAATTAATAAATGGAATTGAAACATAATGAAGTATGTATTATAGACTTTTTCTTCACTTTAATATTAATTTATGAACGTTGAACCTTACCAATTACCATATTACAGGTCAAAAAATACCTAAAAAATAGTGACGGTAAATATGCATATGGACTATGGAGGCTATATATATATATTGAGTTTTGGCTTTTAGGTAGCTTTCAATATTGATTCAAATTCAAATTCAATAAATTACATCGCAAATTAGTTATCAGTCAATGTTTGTCCTTCAAAATTTCCTCCTCAAATATTTGATACTTCAAACTAATTATTTTCCCATTAAAGTTTGGTAATTAAGTATATATATTAAAATAAACATATTGGTGAGAATAGTATTCCTCTAAAATAATAAACATGGCAGCTTTTTTCTAATTAATCTATGTGGTAAGACCATTTGATATTATATGATTGATTAAATTTGGTACATGACAAATTTGAACAATAAAGTTTTGAATGTTGATTGATATAGAGAATCAAATTCTGAAATTATGGTTTATAATAAAAAAAAGAATTTAAAATTGAAAAAATTAACCAAAATTAAATCTCTAAAGATTCTTAAGGACAAAATTTTGCATGTGATCACATGATCCCAACGGTTGGTTCCACCATGCCCGCCCGATTGATGAGATGTATATTTAATTAAGTGAATAAATTAAATAAAAATAAAGTTAGGTAACATATCAATATTTAATTTATGTCTTTTACTGGAAATTGATTTGGTAGTTAATCTTCCAACTAACACTGATTAAAATTAATCTTGACAAGTGTCAAATTATTCATAAATAAATAAAAACAAAGTTTATGTGTCATAATTCCTATCGATTTAGCAAGCTATAGTCTGTCTTTCATTGTAACCAGTCGATATGTTTTATTATTGTGTAGATTATAATGTTTGTTTTAAATTATATTATCTGTAGCAACAACCACTCAACCAGGGATCTTTCGACTATGATTTCACATAAAAAGAAATTAAAGAAAGGCCTTATATAGTTACTTTGAGAGTGCAAATAATAAAGAGACAAACATGGTAGTAGGTTTAGACAATTGGCAATTCAAATTTGTGAGAAGAAAGCTTTATGCTAATGAATGTTTTGAAACTCGGATCGGACGTTGACCCAGTCAAGAGGTTAACAAACTGTCGGTTCAATCGTGAGTCGCCATTGTTTAAGTCAGTGTATCTCGAGTCAATTCGGTTCAAAAGAAAAAAAAGGTTTCACAGTGTTATTAAATCGGTTATATGTCCAGTTCACAGTGAGAATAGTTGGTCTAATCCAATTTTTAGAACACATTACTAACATATATGGTTTTCTCTGCTAATGTGTAAGCATTGTATTAATTATATTTATTAATCAATAAAGTCTTGTATGTTATTATTATATTATGTCATAATTCTAAGGGTTAAACCAATTTATTTTTTGCCAGAAATTTATAATAAATTTTTGAATTGTATTAGCAACATATTAATTAATTATATTAATCAATAAAAACCCTAATTCTTCTATTGCATTATATTTTAGTTACTTTAGAGTTAAACCAAATTTATTGTTCATGAGAAAGCTCCATGGTATTTATGATCGGCAATTGCTATTTAGTACTATAAAAATCAAATTATTATCATAGAACAAGACCAAAATATTGATTTAATTATGACAATTTATGATCAATACAGATTTAGCATTATAATTTTATTCTAACTAATGTGATTGTTGATATCTATTAGTATTTTAATACTATATTATCGAAATTATACTAGAATTTAAATTACTTAAAAGATTAAACCAAATTTAATGTTAGGTTAAAATAGCAGTAAAAAGATGTCGTTAGTTGTCTCTTCTCCTTCCTCAAGAAGGTTTAGGTAATTTTCTCCTTCCTCAAGAAGGTTTAGGTATTTCAGTTAATTGTGCAGTTATATAATAATAAATCATTTGTAAAAAGAGAGATAATATAGTACTACAAAGGCTTTTTCAATTGACCGTGTTGCTTCTGCGTGGGAAAAGGTCCTTCCACGTCTTTGTCTTCTCGCCCAATATACAAGTCCAGTCAAAACCTCGCACCTTGGCCTGCACCTTCCATTATTTTACCATACATATATATATATATATATATATATATATTTCTCTTTTACGCCCTCTATACTCTCCTTTTTAAGTCCTCCTTCATTGGCTTCCGCCACTTTCCCACATAGACTTCATCGATACTTTGTTGTTGTTGTTCTTCTATCTCTGTACATAATATGGGGTTTTTCTTGAGGTATTTGATCTCTAAAGAAGAGAAATCAAGAAGAGTTTTGCGAGGTGTTAAGACTGTGTTCTTCCTGATCACCATGTTGATTTCTTTGTTGCTTTTTTCTGCGCCACTTCTGCTCGTTATTGCTGATACTCTTCTCCCTTCCGCACTTCTCTCAGCTTCTCTTTCTCCTTCTTCATTATCCCTCGAAACCCTCTCCACCCACTTCACTAACTACGATTTTCGCTACTCTCTCATCGACATACCTCTCATCTCCATCATCCGATCCGCCGTCATCATCTGTAAGTAATTGAAAAAGGAAAATTTCGTCCTTATTCTGAGAAATTTCATAATTACTTATGTTTTGTTCTTTGTTCTTCAGGTGTTTATGGATTGTGTGACGGGCCACGGCTTTCGAGAGGGCCGTATCTGGGGATTACAACGATATGTTCAGTGTTGTCGTTAATTTTTGTTTCATTAAAGGCCGCCTTTGTGTTCAGTGTTTCAAACATCGACCGAGGTGGGTACGTGAGAACCATGGAAATGGCTTTATTCATCTGCTCACTGGTTTTAGCCATTGGCCATATCGTGGTGGCTTACAGAACAAGTTGCAGAGAAAGAAGAAAACTACTGGTTTACAAAATTGACATTGAAGCTGTAAGTCCTCTTAGCAAATATATATATATTTTTAAATAATTATGTTATATTGGATGCCGTACAATTATGCCATAGGACGATCTTGACCGTTAATTGTCACATCTCAGAGGCTTATACTTACGAAAGGCTTAGGAAATTTCATTAGTCTATCAATCACCACCAAACTATAGAAGGGTTGAATTTTTATTTTTGTACTTTAAATATTCTTCTGGAAGGTCAGAACAGTAACATATGACTTGGTCTGCCTATTTTTCCTCATTTTAATCGTTTTAAAACACATTTATATCATTTGATTTTCTTGAAGAAAGCATCAATGGGATTCTAGATATCATTTACGTGTATGAAACTATGACCAAGAGCAATCTCATTTGGGGCAGATTTGTGTAGAAAAGTCCAGTTTGTGGGTCTTGAAACATGTAAAACACTTAGCCATGAAACAAAAAAATGTGCATATCATTTTGTTTAATGGTTCTGTAGTTGCTGACTCAGTTCCCTGTCAAAAATTATACATCAAATCTTTATATTGCAGAGAATCTGAGAGTGGAGATGGGCAAGTAGGATTTTATAATAATATTGGACCATTTTGGCACTTATCTGCCATTTGCAACTCTGCATGCCCAGAATCTAAACTTTACTTTACCTACCTTTCTCTCTGTTTGTTTCTGTAGAATCTTGATTACCAAATTCCTCATCTGGGTTTGTTCTCCACATTCCAAATGCTAACAAAAATAATTCCTCAGCATCAAATATGAGCTGGGGTGGTCTCTAATCTTTATTCATCTGTTCTAGTAAAAAGAACTGGTTCAGGTTTTAATTGAAGCTGGATTCATGAACTTATGCATTGGCAAATTAGCTTTACATCCATTAAATGACTTGGAGGATCTTTGAGTTTATGCTTATTGTTGGGACTTATCTGTATCTGAATATATCTGCTTCTAGTACAATCCCTCTAGAAACCTTAACAAATAAGGGATCAGATTCACCGAAATTAAGTTTTTCCACAGCTGCCCATTTCTCTAAATCTTTACTCAATTGAATTCAAACTCCTATTGTATTTAATAATATTGCATTGTGACAGAAGAAATCAAACGAACAAATTATAATAATATATGTGTGGTGTGGGGCATGTGCTCAGGTTTCAGCTGCAAAGAATGGTTTTCCAAGGTATCAGAAGATTCTCAAGGAAGAAAGAGTTAATTAATCAATTAAAGTATATATGAACAAGCAATTTCAACATAATTATAAATCTTTTTGGCGTATCACAGCCAGAGTCAAATTTCAGGTAATCTTCTCGATCCCTTTCTTTTTGCTTTAAAAAAAGGGTTTCTTTAAACATGTCTAGAAGTTATTCACCATCAACCATGAAATTGTTTAATCGCTCTGTCAAATACTAACTTTATCTCTGGTGATGGTTTCCCTGATACAGATTCATCTGAAGGTAACTTGGGATCAAGAACAAGTTAACAGGCGGCTAAATATTAGTAAACAACTACAGAAAATTATATGCAGGGAAATTACATTGTGCAGAAGTGGTGGATTATGTGTATTAGTAGCTACGTTGCAGGGGATACATTAACCTTCATCATTGTAATTAAACATGTACAGAGTTATAGAGCATTAAACAAACTGGCCGAAGGCCTTTTTGACGAGTTCAACCTTTGATTTCCATGGCTGCCATTTTACCATAAATTCATATACTATCATTCTGATAAATTATCTTAAGCTTGGACGATGTCGCTTCCTAGATGTAATGAATAAGAATAAAGCCTCTCATCCAAACTTGGAAATCAAAATACATAAATCTGGAACGGGTGATTTTGAGATATGTCAATGAAAAGGTTGACTATGGGTAACTTAATCTGAAAGGAGAAGATTGTTCTTTTTACCAAACACCTGTGGATCCAATCACACGGTATTATAACAAGAACAAGAGATTTTTCTCCATCAACCCCTTTGGACCTCATTCTTCTAGAATCAAAAAGATCATTTTCAAGTTTGAATTTGTTCATTTGGAATCTAGGTTACTCTACTTCATGTTTATCTACTTATTTCTTTATTATTTTTTTCCCTCTCTTTTCTCTTTTTATTTATTTATTTTATTCCTTTCCATCATTCCTTAAGTCCCATAGGTTTGATCCATCCATTTTCTCATTGAGTGAGAGGTACGAAATAAATCAGATTGGTTTTTCGACCAAAAATAAATTTCGGTTTTTTTCCTCTTTCCTATCCCGTAGGTACAACATTTGATCAGAGAATATTTTCTTCTGTATCTACATGAATCTATATTATTCTAGGTGTCTAAATGATATTTAGGAGTTATTAAATGGGTAATTTGACAAGATTGTAAACTGTCGGGTTTTCATTTTCATTACAATAAGGGTAATTTAAAGCTAAGACAAATATAAGGAGTTCATTGATATATTACTTATTTTGGGGTTATTATTATTATTATTTTTTTTTTTTTGACAGTCGGGGTGTTCGAGGTAATTTATGCGCACCTCAACTAATTCCCAAAATTTTGGAACTATTGGATAAGAGTTTCAGTGATTACCTCTATTAGCAGCCGAGAAGTGATTCAAACTCAGAGACCTCTTGAGTAATACATCCAAGAGTCTCTATTGAATCACTCGATTACCCAAAGATAATTAAAAAGTTTAACAAAAAAAGAGGGTTCTCGACATATAAAAAAAGTTGTTTATGCAATTAAATTAAGAACTTAGGGTCTATTAATTTTTTAGTAATGTTAAATTTACGAAGAAATCTTACAAAGATCTCCGTACAAAGTGATGTAGCAAAAAATAAATGGAAGAGTGAATATAGTAAGTTTGACTTTTTGTTTCACCCTTTCACTCATTTTTTATCACATCATTTTGTGTGGAAATATTTGTTGTAAGATTTATAAGCACAGAATTATTGTTAATTTTTTTGGAATATTACAAATATTTGGGATCCATATGATATTCCAACATATGTTTCGTACCCGAATAAAAAAATAAAATAAAATGGCGGACGCCAGTCGTTAACTCGTTATATCAGCTTCTGAGGATTCCAATATTTCTCCTGAACCACTGTAAGGATTCCAGTGTCTTTTGGGTTTTACTGGGGAGTTAAGAGCTACCTTCATCTGGAGCGAACTTCGAAGTTCAAAGTTATGCCGAAGGTTTGGTTGGTTATTCTGTGTAGCTTTTAGAAATATCTCGGAAACCCTCAATTTGGCGCAGTGATTCTCCATTTGCAGTTCTCCTTCTCTAATCAACTATGGTGTTTTTAATTTGTTCTGTTTTTCACTCTCTCGGCTTTTCAAATGCGCGGCAATTTATATTTAATGGACCGGGCCTAATTTTATTTCCTGAGACCCAGCCCGCCCATAATGCCCAGCTACAAAAGCGACGCCGTTTCACAAACCTCACAACATCTGCCGAACTTATTCTTCTTCCATGGCCGTGTCAGTCCTCCTCTGTCTCAGACATTAAACCGAACAGTAAAATACACTCACAAAACCTAAGTAAAGATAATTGCAGAATGAGGTTCAATTTTGATTTCTCAGAAGCAAACACAGACTCGCGCCGCTCGCTCACGCCTAAAGAGGAACTCGAATGGTCGCCACTTCAGAGTCACCCCGTCTTTTCCGCCGCCTACGGAGACTCCTCTACCGGAAAGGAGTCATCTGGAACTCCAAAAAATCTTGTGGCATGGGATGGAGCTTCTCGGTTATATTACTGGAACTCTAACAAAGGTTGCCTCCATCGGATTTCCATTCGGCTGGGCGAACCCGACCCGACTTCTATCATCGCAGCTTCGCCTTCTAAGGTTTTATTTAACTCTTACAGCTTATTCTTTAACTTTTTGCATGTGCTGAGTAATTTAATTTAGTTTAACTTTATTTTGTTTATAGGTATTGCAACCTGATGTGAAGCTTAATTTTGAAGTTAATAGAATTTCAATTAATAGAAATGGCTCGGCTTTACTACTCGCTGGTTCAGATGGGTTGTGTGTCATGTACTTGTACGGACGAACTTGTACTACAGATAGTAACACACTTGTTTGCAGGTACTGGAACTAGCAAATGTTGTTAACATGTTCTGATTTTTTCTTCTTTTTCCATTGTGGTTTGGTTGCTTACACATTATGCATTGGGTTAATTGATTAATATACAGGACTGTTTCGATTGGTGCTCAAATCTATTTTAGTAGCAGCAGCAATGCTATACGTATACTACAAGTTTCTTGGCATCCTTATAGTGAAACCCATTTGGGGATTCTTTCCTCTGATTCAGTTTTCAGGTATCATAATTGTCTTGATTTAGTTAGCTATGTGCTTGAAATATGCTTGAAACATGCAAATGTTCCAGTTTGAATTTGAACATTGTTCAAATTGTTCATAATGCTTTAAATGTGTGTGTCATTTCAGCAGCCATTGGAAGTATTATACCATAGGAAATCTCTATGTTTACTTCATCTCAATAAGTGTGCCTCATCTTGAGGGGAGTATATAGTTCTACCAATGTTGTCAGTAACATGCAAGAAATATTGTTTAGTCATAATCTTACTTTGGAGGATTCATGCCAGCCTATGTCTGTGGCTTTATTGCACTTGTCAACTTTAAATTTTGCTACATAATGTTAGTAGAAGTAATTTTATTTTCTGATTATTTGCAAACTGTGTTTTTAATTGAATCTGGTGTTGAGTCGTAACAATTCTTTCCTTTGGTAGACTTTTTAATCTGTCTGCAGATCTCATGCAACCAGAGCAAGAATATTATCTACAGCCCGTTGAACCAGGTCGATCTAGGAATGCTGCATCAATTTGCCCTGTTGATTTTTCTTTTGGTGGAGACCACTTGTGGGATAGATTTACTGTAAGTTCACTTGAAAATCTATATAGTCTCATTAATGCATGTGAAATTTTTTATTGCAAAGAATGGGATTTAATAGTTTGTTTCGTCGTCCAATAATCACAATTTGGGTTTAATTTGCACTGTATTTATCTGTGAAATTGTGGTTCTGTACTGGAAAATGTCTTCTGATCACAACAAGAAGAAAAGCATTTGATGCAAATTTATCTTGGAAGGTTATTGCCATTGATTTCATAAGCACTGATGATGCTTTACAAAACAGAATAATCTCATACCAAAGTGTTAACGCTTTTTGGCTTTTGCTCATACTTGATATATATCACAAGATGATATCATTCAATTTTACTGTTTTTTAATAAGTCATCCTTGCTTGTAGCAACATTTGTGTAGCCTTCTTGTCCTTATTTATCCATGACCATTATGTTTTGGTAATAAGTTTAAAATTTTTCAATCTAGTATCAGCAATATCATCAATCTATATTGAGCTTTCTTCTGTTTCTGCAGGTTTTTGTATTATTCAGTGATGGTTCAATATACATCCTGTGTCCGATAGTTCCATTTGGAAGGTACTTTAGATAGTAATTAGTCTGCAATTTTTCATTTCTGTCATTTTTAATGTTAACCTACAATTTTGTCTAGAGTTGGTTATGGATAGGCAATACTGTGTTTTATGAGTAAGAAAATCAAGATGTTTGAAAATGTTAGCAGGAGGTAGAGGAACATATTTAGCTTGCCATGGTTCATGAAACTTTGTGTGTTACAATACAGCCTATATAACACTTTACATGCACAATAATGGCTGCCTGAAAATATTTGTGTACTTGCTTCGCTTAATGGCTAATTATTTATATTCAATTTAACTTATATTAAATTTGCACCAGTGTCTACAAATGGGAATCCATATTGGAGATATATAGTGATGCTCATACTTTTGGTCTAAGATCAAGCAATTCATCAGCTATCAGTAATTCTAGTCTGGCAATCTCTTGGTTAGAAGCAACATTTCCTGAGTTGGCTCAAGATGCAGTGGATGAAGGAGATCTGCCTACGCTAAAAGCTCATCCTCATGCTTTATTTAATTCATCACTTTCTTTGCAGGTATATATCTATATTTTTTGTTACACACATCTTGCAGTAGCCTATGTTGAATAGATGCTTTAAAATGTATTTAAGCATTTGGGAAATTTAGTAAGACATGCTTGTTTTTTACTCCCAATGGCCTGTTCAGCGAAGAGGGAAGGAATTTTATTTGTTTGCTTAATGCATACTAGAATGTCTTATAAAAAAGAAAAAAAAAAAATCATTATAATAATAATATTATTATTATTATTATTTTTTTTGTAATAATTGAACTTTTAGTGTACAAGTTTCTAATATTGGTGGCTTGCTTCCAGTAGCCAAATCTTCTTCAAATCTAGCTGTGCTGATTTTACTGAACCATCTTCTAAAAACCAACAAAATCTTGATTATTAATGTCTGCAGGGACCTCTGCGGAAAGTATGCCATGGTGGGGAGGATGAAGTGCTTGCAGTTCGGGGGGCAGAATGTGAAGGTCGTGCAGTCAGTTTTCTGTATAGTTTAGTCAGCAAAGACTCAATTTTAGTGACTGCCTGGAGTGTTGGGCAATTGCAAATAGATGCCCTAGCGGATGAAATCCAGCCAGTCTGGATTGTCGGTAATGCACCTCGTCTTCGTGTTGATTATCATGACCATATTCTTGGACTTGCTATGATTTGTGAACCTATGTCAGTTCAGTTTCCAATTGTGAAGCTTGATCAACCGGTTGATCATACTGTTTGGTTGGGGCATCCGCCTCCGTTATTGAGATTGGCTACTGTGGATTTGGCCTTGCCTAGGAATACAGACAGTGGTTCTCTTATTACTATGTTTGTTGATCCCCTTATGCAAGAAAGAATATATGCACTTCATGATGGAGGAATAGATTCAATAGTGTTGCATTATCTCCCATTTACAAGTCAAAACCGTGGTAAGGATGAGACAGTCAGAACTCCTTCCGTGAATCCTGTCCTGAGTACATGCCAAGGAGAAACCTCGTCTTCATCTCGTCTGTGTGGATTTGTGTCATTGTCGGATTCATTTGGATACTCATGGATTGTGGGAGTCACCTCAACTCACGAATGTATTGTGCTAGAGATGAAAAGTTGGAACTTATTGCTTCCCATTAAAATTGATACAGAGAAGAAACCTATTAACTTAGGGGAAAGGAAAGAGACAGATACTCCAGATATCATAAGTAAGGAACTTCTAGTTGGTCCTAAGGTGGTTCTTCATCCTCAGGCTTTACCAAACCTTCGTTCTGTTGCTGCTGATTCTATTGAAGGTCGATCAACTCTCCATCAGTACTTCAAGCTTTTCCATGAAAATTATGTTGAATATGCACATAAGGTGAGAGAATGTACAATCTAATTCACCTACAATTACTGCAGTACCATTTGCACTAGAATTTCTTTCTTATAATTTAACCATCTTTGTCATTTTGGTTCTAGTGTGCTTTTTGATGCATATTGTTTAGACGTTTGTGGTTTGGCAATAATCCTAGATGTTTTTGTTGGCTTTACGCTCTGTTGATTTTGTATGTAAAATATTGAGATGGCATGAAACTGATTGCAGCAATGTTCAGATGCTGTTTTATGATTGATGTTTAAATTTGTTGTATGATAAGTTTGCTTCTCCATTTTATAGGTATACTTTGAGCTCAAGCATCATGCACCACAATTGATGCGACTCATTGATGATCAGCATGCTCGTTTACGTGAGGCGCAAGAGAAGATTTCTCAAGTTGAGGTGAAACAACCAAGATTGGAAGAGAGGATTGATCATGCAATTGAGATACATAATAGTCTAGAACAGCGATTACAACGCTTGAGGAATTTGCCTGGGGCACATAAGAAACCATTGTCTAGAGCTGAGAGAGAATTTAAGTCTGAGCTTGGTAATCAACTTCTTTTCACACGACAAATACTTTGATGAACAGTATTTAATTATTTTTTTGACCTAATCTGAATATAACTTGTGGTCCATTGGGCTGTAAATTCTTAATTTAAAACACTTCATTTCTAGATTGGCTGGGATCACTTTCTCAGGGCATTAATTATTATTATTATTATTCTTTTTATGGTTTTTGCAGACCAGTTTACAGGAGTTGAGCTGGATGCTTTGCATTCTTCCATTGAGGCATTAAGAGCAAGGCTGAGAAGGCTTACACAATCTCCAACAAAGGGCAGTACAAACCAACAAAGGAAAACATTAGTAAAGAACAATGTCCAAGATGCCCAAATGTCCCAGCTAAAATCCGCAATGGAAAAACTCACAATTGTCAACAGTGAGAACTCAAAGAAGGTTAAGCTTGTTGAATCTGCATTAAAAAGGCAGGAAAGCAGCAGATGATGATGAAACCTATCACCGTTGTCAACAGTGAGAACTCAAAGATGAAAGCTCTTGCAGTCTGTGAAAGTATACACGGGTCGGTATCGTTTTCTGAGCAAACTGCCGAAGATAAATACTGAGAATTGAGAACTGGAACTGGAATTAGAGCTTTAATGTAAGGCTGTTGTTGTTTGGTTGATTGCTTAAAATAGTGATGGAAATCCAAGTTCATTGTATCAGAAAAAGGAAGAAGAAATGATTCTTGCTAGCTTTGATGATAATTGATACCCACTAACCTTTATTAATAATAATAATTAACAGGGCGGCTTAGTTAAATAATAAATGTAAATATGATAATTTACATAATAATATTCTACTAATACAACATTAAAACATGATTACTCTTCTTCTTCTTCTTCTTCTTCTACATTTCGAGGCTTAACAATAATTGGATACCTCTTCTGCGTCCTAGTCGTCGGAAAGAAAACTAACTTGTCCTCTTCAGCTGGAACCCAACTGTCAAACATAAACATAAACATAACAAAAACAAAACCAATCTCTGCTTAGATTCATATTCAATTCAACAACTGTTTTTACAAATTAAAAAAAAAAAATCAGCAGTACCTGAAACGAGTGACTATGTGATGAAGAAAAACTGAGAGCTCAACTCTGGCAAGTTCATAACCGGGGCACAGCCGTGGCCCTCCTCCAAATGGGGTGAACACATTCACTGAACTTGTTCCTCCTGAATTACTCTGTTCATTTTTGATATAATTTTAAGTCATTAATTTCCATTATAACTAACAACAAAATAGAGAAAGAAAAATAAAAATCTACCTGCCATCGCCATGGATTGAAAGAGCGAGCATCTTTAAAATGGGCATGGTCTAAATGTACAGCTCTAAATGATGCAAAAACCTTCCATCCTTTTGGAATTGTGTAACCTTTAATGTCAATATCAGTCATTGCTCTTCTAAATACTCCACCGATTATGTTTGCCAATCTCAGGGTCTCATTAACAACCTGAAAAAAGCAAAGTCAAAATGAGCAGAGCCGCACTGCATAATAAAAGCTGCTATTAATTAATTAATTAGTAATTTACTTTTAAAACTGTCTACTTACACACTGAGTAAATGGCATTGATTTATAATCACTCCATTCAAGACCCTCTTCCTTCTTCTTCTTCTTCCTGATCCCCTCATGCTCCTCCTACAAAAATCACTTACATATCAATTAAATTAAAAGCTTCTGGACTAGGATGGGCCATGGGCCTATTTAATATGGCCCACAAAATTTGACAAGGGAAAGAGGCAAATGGTGTCCTATGAAACTGTTTCTACAGAGTGAAAAAAAATGAGGATCAAACGGTTAGGTTTGAAACAATCACGTGACTGCACAAAGATCAAAACAATCCTAGGAATCAAGAGGCTGCACTAGCTAGGGTGGTGACTAGGTGAGTAGGTGACATCATCACCATCTTCACTTTACACCGTTTGATGCGCTTGATGGCCGTCTCCTAGAAATCAGCACCACACGTTTTTCAATGTCCCACGCCTGGGACCCATCGGTCCAATTTTTGCAACCCGTCGTACAATACCACCCACCACTAGGAAGATTGTACTAATGAAGAGGAGGGGTGGTTTAGTAATTTCGTACCAGACAAAATGGTCAAAGGGTAAATGTGATCAGACTCTGACACGTTGACAGGGAGGCTTTTTTTTTTTTTTTTTTTTAACAATTACAGCACATCCAGAGGCGAGGCGTGCAGTTTTTGATGGCATGATATTGTCCGGTTACACAAATGTCGGTTCGTACTTTGACTTTACTGTTGTAACTTTTTGCCTCTACTTTTGACCAACATTATAAATACTTCCCCCAACACCCGCTTTTCCCTTTTTACTCCAATCCAAAAAAAAAAGAAAAAAAAAAATTCCTTCAAATTTTTTTTTGTATTTAGAAATGTTCGAGCCAACTTTCTACACGATTAATTTTTTTAAGATCGTAAAATTAAATTCAAATTTTTTTAAATTATTATTTAAAAGTTTCTACCGTCTCAACCGAGGATGATTTCCCTCCAAAACTTTCACACACCGTTAAAAGGATGCAAATAATTAAAATTTAATTTGTTTATATAGAAATTATTTTTCTATCTTTTTTAAATAATATAATAGAATAAAAAAAAGCTTTTAATTTTTTTTATCTCACCACCCCCATTGTTAAAAGGTTGACAAAGTAGACAATGAAATGAGGCAACAACATGATCATTATGGCTTTGGGCTCCACTCTTTTTTTTTTTTTTTTAAATTATAAAAATTAGATAGAAAATGGAAAATAAAATTACATACAGTTGAGCCAAAGCGAGAGGGGTCTCCGTGAGGAACTTAACAGCGAGAGTCATAATAGTAGAGGTGGTTTCATAGCCAGCCACCAATAAAGCAACTAAGAAATCGACAATTTCCTCGTCGGAAAACCCACCGTCTCCGGCCAAAAGTGCACCCAACATGTCACTCTTTCTCTCACCCGATTCACTCTCTTTTCTCCTCTGCCTCACTATCAAACTCAACGCCTCTGCCACCTTCGTCCTCGCCTGCACAAACCCGATCAACCATAATCAATAAATTAATCATTTTAGATGTATTTTTATTATTATTCATAGGACAAAAGCGATTACTTGAATAGCTCTGCGGTAGGTGGTGGAGAAAATGGGCAGAGGGACGGTGAAGAAGCCTTCAATAACAAGAACGTATTCTTTTCTCAGACTTTCCGTCCATTCTCCAGGATCAAAACTCATCAGTTGCTTCACTGTTAACTCAAATGTAATCTGCAAAATTCAGTAACAAAGACGAAGCAACCAATCTATTAATTTATTAGTTCTTACTATAATAATATTTTACATTAATTAATACGTACTTAACTATAATAATAACAATATAACATGGATGAAGCAGACAAATATTCCTTTAATATTCAAAAGCAAAAACCAGAGACAATGATTCCAGCCGCATATCGCAAACCATGGATTCTGACTCACCATGCCCACCATTTTTAACGTGAATCATGACACAAAGTATATAAAAAAAAAAACTAAACTGTGATTGACCCGGACGGTTCCTCTCTGAGTCAACTCAGTTTGAGTAAAAAAAAAAAAAAAAAAACTAATAATGTTACCTTCTTGGCTTCTTCCATGAGGAAGACCCGGTCGGTCCAGGAGTCCATATTGAGCCGGACTAGCCGGTCGATGTCCACCAAAAGATGGTCTTTAATAATGGAGGAATTAGCGAAACTCATAGTTAGAGAATGCATTCTCTTGTGGAGACTCCCTTTCATCAACAAAAGAGAATGCTTTCCCAAAAGGTTCGATATCGAACCCGGGTAGCTACACTCAAACAGCTTCCCTTCATTCTGCAATATGAACCGGTTCGTTTCTGGGTCGGCGGAGAACACCGTCGGTTCACCAAAAACATGGGTGGTAAATATGGAACCGAACCGGTTCACCCTCTCGTCAATGAAAGGCTCAGGATTCTCAGTTTTGTACGCAGCAATAAGCTGAAGTGTCTCCCCCACAAAAGGCAGCCCCAGACTCCCCGGCGGCAACCGGAGACGCCGGCTCCGAGATGAACGGAATATAAAGAAAAATATTACAACTGAAATAATAACACAAAGAAACATATTATAGAGAAGGTCCTCCATGGAAATAACTCAGTGATTATTTATTTATCAGTAAGATAAGATTATAAACATGTAAAAGTTGAAGTTTTTGAAGTAAAGGAAGAAGCTTTGCTGGGTTGGGGTATTAATGGAGAAGAGAGGGAGGCACACGAGGGGTATCTCCAAAAGAACCTTAGTAGAGGTTGCGGGGGAGAAATAAATGCTGGATATTTTGGTATCTGAAACAGAAATGAGAGATTTAAATTCTTAATTTAATTTAATTCCATGTATAAACTTTCTTTTTCGCTCTTTCTTTGTGTCGCTCTGAGGATAAGATTTTGGAAGGAAACTTTGGAAAGAATTCTTGTATAGAAAGGTTGTGTAAAAGCACCGTTGGGACACCACCAAATTGGCATATATGATATGATCGCCTTCATAAAACCATCGCTACATTTATATACCATTTTTTTTTTCTTTATTTTAATAATCGACGGTATTCAAGTGAGTTTACACGTATCTCAATTAATCTTCGAATCCATTAAACATCCTGTTATGCCTAAAAGACCCAGGGCTGACGTAAGGCCCAGTCAGCGCGCAAAAGTCAGAGCATGGGTATACTCGCAGCCGAGTCACGTGAGAAAGGGAGCAGTACACTCCTGTCAGTACAGTGGGTGCGCGCCAGACCAGTCAGGAGCTGGAGAGCTTCCAAGTGTCCAATGCCTGCCCCAAAATCACGTAAATCGCACTGGAAGGTGGGCAATGGGACGTAAAGGAAGATTTGTACGGATAACCCCACCAACTCACAGATTCAGTAATCATAACCTTAATCCATCTCCCTATAAATTGAGGATTCCACTCTCATTTTGGGGATTGGCTAATCTCTCTAAAAAATAGCATACATGCTCTCTGTCTATTGTATCCATTTGTAAATCCAGCTCGTCGAGCGTGACCTAGTCGTTGTCATTAATACAATATCAGTGGACATAGGATTTGCTTCCTTAAAGCATCTGAACCACTTTAAACACCGTCTTGTCATTTCTTTTACTACTCATTCTCTCATCCACGTGTGTCTTCTAGGCCAGCTCAGCGTTTCACATGTGCATTTGGTTGGTGTACAAAATCACGCATCAACACATCCTACAAAAAAAAAAAAAATAAAAAAAAAAATCAGATAAACCATTATGTTATTATGGCAAATAACCCTAATGTTTAAACTCAGAAAATTCAATAAATAGGACAAACATCTTTAATGGCCAAACCAATCATTTAGAATTCATTTATACATTTTTTTTTCTCTATGCTATAATCATAATTAAACAAATAATTAAGCTAATTAACCAAGTATTAGTTAATCAAAAGAATCGACAGAATATATAGGAGTTTGTGAAGAAGGGTATATATCATATATGCTTGTGTTTTTGAAGGCTAAATTGTCTTTTATTGTATTGCTAATTAAGGGAAGTGAGGTATATTATAGACTATAATACATAATGAAAAGAGTAAGTGGGTGTGATGAAATAATTGAGATACATGTAGCACATGGGTTACACTAAAAATTAATAGTATAATGTAATTTCAATCTGATCTCTGAAGATGGAGATGAAGATGAAATGATCCAGAAGGGTAGTGTTTTGTGTGGCCCTAGTTATTTGTTGCCCATAGAAATAATGTATCATTATACCAAAAAGAGACAGGGAGTAGCAGCTTAACTTTCTACTTTCTTTAACATTTTTAGCCACTCCACTCGACTTTTCCCAATGAATGCATGTGTCGTTTGGCCCACACATGGTTTGAAAAAAAAAAAAAAAACCAGAAAGCTTTCTCTCTTCATCTTCTTCGTGGAGAAGAATGATATGATTTAGCTTAACTTAATTAGTGTTAAGTCTTAAATTAATTAATTACCACCAACTTAATTAATCAGGTTGCTTCTCTTGTCTGGCTTTATATCTGTATATATGTATTGGAAATCTGTAGATTCATGTTAGGTAGGATGGGATCCTCCAGTGGTTAAGAACACAACATTAATCTACATTCAACTATAAATTAATTGTTTTTTTTTTTTTTTTTTTTTTTTTGGTTTTTTTTGGGTATTTAGAGGTGTCTAGACGAGCGTGTATGCACCTCAACTTGTCTTCTGGGGCCGTCCTGCGCAAGCGAGCTCGTCCCCTCATTTGTTCTGGTCACTGAATGGTCTATCTCTTTTACGGTCTGAAAAAGAGCGACACGTAGGGATTACTTAGTCTTCGTACAAAGTTTCGTACGATGACGTGGAAGCATAAAAAACCACAATGTGTCTTCTTTAAACCTTAGAAAAACCCTAAAAATCCTTGGAGACCACCCCCAAAGATTCATGCCCTAAAAGAAACCTATTGCTTACAAAGAAAAAGGAAAGTAATGGAAGGATCTTCATTACCTCTTAGATGTGAGGATTGAACTTCCTACTATGAACGTTAAATGCGCACCAGCCTAAGGGATGGAAAATCTGGTCTCGCGAGAGTTTCTTGTTTTTTTCTAAAAAAGTGAGTGTTGTGACATTGCTTAAGGCGAGCCTGGGGTTTTATAGTGGGAGAAATGACGATTGGATTTCCCGAAGCCAAGCGACGTATGGGCAGAATACGCCTCTCACCGTTGATCGCGACCACGTGTCATCAATCGACGAGAAGGAGCAACCACCACGCTTCGAGAAATTCAATCGTCGCTTCCCTCCATTGAAATAAACGAGTGACGGCTCGATTCCCTCTTCCACATTAAATGCGCTCTCATACGCATTTAATGTCCTGATAGGGAATGTCGTTTCAGTATGACTTGCATTTAATGCGCATGGCTGACATTTATTACGCATATGACACGTCTGTCAGAATAAAGGTTGCTTTATTAATGGGTTAGTTGTCTAGCGCAATGGATAACACCTGAAGAGGTCGTTAGAATAGAACACTCTTCGTTGCATGTCGAATACGGAATGAGGTGATCCCTTGTCTTCAATAGAAACGCTCCAAGTTCTATCAGGTCGCAAACCTAGGTCGAGGTACAAAGCACATTGGTACATCGCTGAGTAGGGTCTAATTCAGGTCACTGACTTTGCGGAAGAAGACCGTCTCAGGTCGCTCATAGAAGTGTGTACGGTGACCTCCTTGTAGCCAGGTCGATTCAGCCAGGCATCATTTGGGACATGTCAAATCAAGGCATAATTATGTTGTTTTCAAGATTCGATCCTCAAACCTTAAAAACTAGGGGATTTCTGTTATGCTTGAAAAGGTAGGGCTGACGTGAAGCCTTGTCAGCATGGGATGGTCAGAACTTGGGAAGGATCTGTGACCGTCTAGACGCAGCCACGTCGCATAATGGCGCAAGTGGCACACCCCCGTCAGTGTAGTAGGTGAGTGCTAGACTAGTAGGAGGTTGGAAATCGTCCACATGTCCAAACCCTGCATAAGTCGAGGAAATCCCTCGGGCAGGTGCACAATGGGACGTAGAGAAGGATTGCACGGTACCCACCAACTTGCAGATTTAGTAATCATTACTTTGGTTTCTCCCACTATAAATAGAAGCCTTCCCTCTCATTTGCGGGATTGGCTAATTATACTCTAAAATAGCTTTCTTTCTCTCTCCCTCTTGTATTCTCTCTAAACGGTAGCTCAGCTCGCTGAACACGACTTGACCTTTACCCTCTTGTTAATACAATAGCAGTGGACATAGGATTCGCTTTTGAGCATCTGAACCACTTTAAACATTGCCTCTCACCCCTTATTTAACTTAATATTCTCATATCATGCGTGTCTTCTAAGTCTGCTTAGCATTTCACACGTGCGAGTAGTTAGTGTCTAAAATCGAGCATCAACAACTATAATACATAATGAAAAGGGTAAGTGGGTGCGATGAAATAATTGAGATACATGTGTCACATGGGTTACACTAAAAATTAATAGTATAATGTAATGTCAATATGATCTCTGAAGATGGGAGATCCAATTATAAGTTAACGGCTAAGTAAACCTCCAATAGCTACCTTTATTAGTAGTAGTGAAGATTCGTACTCAAAATCTCTTGAATGATATACTCAAGAGTTATAAGCGAACTATATATATATAAGAAACCCGGAGAGTTATATAAAAAGAAGGGGGTTTTTTTTTTTTTTTTCCATAAATAATAATAATATAGATAGAATGTCATCATGCATACTGATTGTCCCACCTCATCTCCAAATATTTGGTTCCAAGCTTTATACTAAAAGATTCATATGAAAAAGCAAAGTGTTAATTCCTTGATAATTGTCTTTTTGTAAACCCTAGTTTAATTTTCTCATGAAAATCCTCTTAAACCCTTCCTGTCTATTATATCATTAGCATTAGAAAACTAAGTTTATCTACTTGATGATCTATATAGCTTTCCAACCAAGATGGGTGAGCTCCCATGAAGAAGAAGATAAATTAAATTAATTATAAGTTAATTTAGCTTAACCACCATCCACGTTGTCAAAATATAATGGAAGTAACATGCAATTATTTAAAACTAGGGTTTTGGATCATAAATCTACCACGTTCATTTCTTTCCTTTCTCACATGGTCCCCATTTGGGACATTAAGCTCTCCACCCACTAGACATTCCATTAATTAATCATCTCTTCCCTTTTGATGTGAGAAGAATCCCATCATCTTCATCATGTGTTTGTGTGCTCCTCCAATCACTTAATTAATTCATTAACTAAGCTTTACTAACCCTAATTATCTTATTCTTATTCTTAATCCCCTTTTAATCCTCATTCTTTATGCTTCATCTTTTTTATATTTTATTATTGAATTCGAAACCTACCTCGTCATCCTCCATAACTACAGAATTCATATATATATTATTAGATGTGTTTAGGTAGGTTAGTACTTTTGAGACAGATTATAATCCAGGATTTCTGGGATTTGGGCAAAATTCAGATTTGTGATAATCTTGATTATGGAGTTTTTATCACGATGTTTCTTATCAATGAAGCTGCCGGATTATGGGAATCCAACATCCATTGTTAGGGTTTCTGTTCATGACACACGATATAGAATTTGGATTAACTATAGTTGTTAAATTAGCTTAACCATTAATTAATAATCTAATCTCAAATATACATTGCCTACCTATTTCATTAACAGATAGTGATTGGCACTAGTATAAAAATCTCGAGTGAGAGTATCCTCATACCAAATTATAATATGTACAAAAAAAAATAAAAAAAAATAAAAATCTCAAAATAATAGAGAATTTAGAGCGTGTTTAGGGTTAATTAAGTTGAAATTGAAACATATACTTCGATTTATTCCTTCTTGTGCACTATATATATATACATATATAATGAAATGTCCCACAACATCTCATCCCACGTGTGAGGTGACAGTATATAGCTCATAAACAACCGAAGATGTCTTTTTCTTTGATGGCCCATATCAATTGGTTCATCACCATTATATCATAATCTGATAATATTGTTATTAGTTACTTGGCAAATTTGGTCACTGCAATCACCAAATTTGCACCAACTATTTAAAGAGAGAATTAACCATAGCAATAATGCCACCAAACCGAACCCAATTGTACGAGCCCTGGCCTTCGATTGCTCCATCGATCGATCCCTTTTGCCTCCCATGGTTGCCCTACCATTTTGGTGAAGATAATCAAATGAAAGCTATTATTCATAAAGGAAAGTTTCCATAATATCATAGTGTAAAAAGTTGATTAAATCTTGACATAACTCTGCGTGGGACATCTTCCCTTTGGTGCCACTCAACCTACTACTGACTTTGCCGACACCATTTTTGCTCAATTAATATTAACTAATTTCTCCCTTAATTAAGATTGGTGTTAAACTGAATAGAATTGCAGAATTTTTTGTGGGTATTTTTGTAGATGAAATTTTTTGAAGTCGAAAATTAAGAGGACCACTGGG